ATGGGTGATACAGGTATGAAAATCCAGATTTTATTAATATAAAATTAAATTTTGCTCGAAAAGGCATTTTATTAGGAGCTGAAAGTTGCTGAGTATTGCATGAGCTCAACAAGATCTATAGAATATATCTCCAGCTTAAGCAAAAGAACTTTGAAATGCCATCCTTTAAACATCTGAGGATAATGGCCACAGCTTCTGCAATGCAATACGAAAAATAAATACTCAGTTAGGAATTGGCATGATTAAAGTGTTAAGTGTAATGCTTAATTATTTGTATGGTTTTTACTATATTTTATGAAATGAAATTGGACTTTATATATCAAAAATTTCTTTTTAAATGATTTAAATGAGAATTAAATGATTTTTTTTCTAAAAATGTATTTCTGGTCCGATTCCTGGTTTTTGGTTTCTCAGACCAGGCAAAATTTACTTGGAGAATAATTAGCGATAGAAATACAGGCAGGTCGCTACTTTTTTGTGGATTTCTAGAAGATGCGCTTCAAAATCGAAACAGCAGCCCACTGAGCCACTAAAACCTGGTTAGATTCGTTCAAAATCATTTAATTCTCTTTCAATTTTTATGAAAATCTTAATGTTCTTATTGAACCTCACTTCTATTTTTATTTTTATTTATGAAGCTTTATAGCATTTACAAGGAATGGATTGACGAAGAAAAAAATTATTTATTTATTATTTATCACCTGGATCAGAATTCAAACGGTGCAAAAGCTATTTTTCGAAATTAATTTAGCTGATTCATCAAATCTAGGAGGGGTTCAGTCTTTCAATTGTGGGCGAATTTTATACATATTAGTCTGATAAATTATCCGATCTTTTGTGTGCATAAATTTTAGTTACCAGCAAAGCGATAAACATTACGAACCACAATAATAAACACATCAGTGCATATAATGAAGTACCAGTAAGACTACCTTTTGGTATTTCTGATCGAATAGAGGAGGACTCTGGTAAAGAACCAAAAATAATAAGAATTATTATTATTATTAAAATTATTATTATTAAAATTTGCTATTCATTATTCACTGATGAATCAAACGAAAACTGACAAAATGAAGCAGAAAAGCGACCAAAAGCATTGTGCAAAAATCATCAAAGCATCCATAACTTGCAACAATAATTGCGTTGTAGCTCTTCAGTTGAAATAAAAGGAGAATGAAGAGGAAGATAGGGAAAGTACATGTTTGAAGGATTTTTTCAAATACGAAATAAAAAAACTGAATCACCAATAAAACTTCAGCTTCACCGATTTGAAAAATTACTCGGTACCAGTGTTTCATTCCATAATGATACCATAGTAAACGAAAAACTCCGAACAAAAAACACAACTTCAGGTGCTTAGGACCCACTATTCTTCCGTCTCCATCAACTCACTGGTGAGCGATTCCCATTTCGATAGCCAATAATAGCTCGTCAAACCATAGATGATAAATGTTGGTAAAAGAATTGCAAAAAATCAATTAAAAAATCAGTTCAGATATTATCAGTCTGGTGTAGAGCTTTAGCTCGTTGAACTCCTAACTACGCATTGAGATATTCTATTTTCTCCTATTTTTATGGTCTTGCAACATTACAGCCCGAAGAAACGTGGTAACTTGGCCAGATTAACGAATTATCCGAGCTATTCTCGATCCTCTGTAATTATTTTGCAAAATTTGTATATTGCAAAATTTTACGTTCATATTTACAATATTTCAATTGAAAATCGGAATTTAAATCGGAATTCGTTTAAATTTCTGTTGTTTAAATTTAAATTAAATTTAAATTGGTTTAAATTTAAATTTTGTATTTGGCGAAAATAGTTATATTTTTAGTACAAAGTGGAACTTTTGCAATGATGTGGAACAAAAGGATTTAAGGAAAATGCTGGTGGATTATGGCATAGACGAGGCATTAAGAAAACGTTCTTCAAGGTATTCTTCAAGGATTCAAAAAGTTCCAAAAGGAATAATAAAAATCAATCATCGTAACCACATAGCCTAAGTGAAATAACTGAAACGCGTTTTTGTTGTTCTCCGAACTAAAAAATCTGTTTCATTAAGTGAAATACATTTAGTTCATTCTGGGATAAAATAAGACAACTGAGGCCGAAAATACGCAAATCAAAGAAGAATAATCAAGTTTAACCAAATTATCAAATCTGATAATCGGCTGCGCAAAATTTTAGATTATTGAAAACAAAACATGAATTTCACTTTTCCAATTCATTAAAACAATAGAAGTTGATAGATAAAAAGCAATTTTGCGGATAAAACTGTATTGAAAACTTGGATCTAACTTTTAAACAATATGGTTATTCCTGGTTAGTCTAATCTGAAGTGATGTGGAGATTTTACTTCAATTTCAAATTGCTTTGACTCTATTTTTAATAATAGGAATATACTGCAGAAATTTTAAATACCATATAAACGAGCTTGTGGAGTTTCTGCGAAATGACCTCGGTTTTGCAGCGTATTTCGGTCTATCATTATAAAATATGCATTTTTTGAAGTCTTGTTAAACCTTGTTATATTAAAAGGCTGCCTTCAATATCCTATCAAAACCATTACTCTTTTACCACTAACGGCTTAAGCTCGTACCACCCAAAGCCTCAGTTGTTACACCTTATAACTATCTATTAGCGCTATCAATGCAATGGATATGAATGACGAGGAAATAAAAAAAGCCTAATGAACAATGGCATAAATTTAAATTTCATGTAATAAAGGACAAGATGCGGAGCTAAATATAAGGTTTATTTGTTCTTGCAGTCACTAATTTTATCAACTGAAGATCGGCAGTTTATCATTCTCTATGAAGTATTCTAAGGAAATATCAAGCGCTTAAAGAAGTTTATCGAAAATAAAAGTGCAGACAAGCAGTGACAGCTTCAAATTTACTGACGAGTTCCATGATAATTTTCTCCATTATCATTCTTAATTTTTTTCCGGATTCCATAAATTTTACCGCTACATCCCCAATCCGCGCTCTTCTAAATCCCATCCTAAAAGCAAAACTTCTAAATTCCTTAATCAGCTTGGAATTAACTCCTAGAACATCTTCAGCAATCTTCGAATTTTCCTACTTGCTGTCAGTTTCAGATTGCTGAAAAAATGAAGAGTTTTTTTGTCATCCAGAAATTTTTGAGACTTTTCAGTAATCCATAGGCTCTAATGTAACTTGTTGTCTTGAATATTTCATTTGTTATATTTATCTATTTTTCATAATTTCATAATATTATCAAATTTTAATTAAAAAGTAAACGACAACAACAAAAATCGGTTGGACATATATATATCACGAATCATAGAAAACAAACGGTCAACAAAAATAAATATTAGACTGGTAAGGAAGAGAACTTAGGAAAAGGGGTCCATTGAGATGGAATGATTTTATGAAGATTATTAGATTATTAGAGAATAGTAGCACCGAATCGTCGAACTTCCTGGAGAATACGGCGCTGGTAATTTGTGCGACCGAAAAAACCGATTTGATGTTGTGCATCTAAGTTTTTCTCTTAAATCTTTTTTCTACATTCGTGAATTTTTTATTTTCACTTAGCGATTCAATTAAGTTTTTCTCTTTTTTTTTCAAATTTTCCGAACAATGGAATTCACCCTCTTTCAACTTTTTTTTCTAACTTTTTTTCAAGTTTTTCTTTTCAGACATATTTTTCAGATTTTTTCCCAAAATTCAGAGATTGAGATTTTTCGATAAGATATCTGGCATTCAGTGATTCAGTGTTTTTCCGATGGCTTACGATGATCGAAGTTTTTGATACTTCCGATAATGCTGTAGCAATATATAAAAATTTCGATATGACCATTGGGGTCGCCTTTTTTTCACCGAATACGCAGAAACCATGCACTGATTGTTGTCGAAAGAAAGAGGTTATTTTTAGGTCGGCCCGTTTTCATTCTTTTTTGGGCATCTCATGCAAGGCTTCATTGGGCCATTCGTATTAATATTTTTTGCTGGATCGCTATTTTATTAATTTCGATGCACCACGTTGAATTCATGAAAACAGCCTTGTCAACCTTCTCTTCTTTTATCCTTGACTGGTCTACAATTAATTTGTTGAGAAAGGAAGCTCTAACTAGCAGTTCGAATCCATTTCCTATCTTTATAACTAACCTTACAGTAGCCTTTTGCTTTCGCATTTTCGCAACACTCCTAATTGAGGAAAGCCGACTGGATTCGAATCTATAGATTGAGACGGTATTGCCATTGAACTATCACGAATCACTCTGGATTTGTTAAAACTCACTGCCTTGTCAAACTCATCTTCAATGATCCTTGACTAATAGGTAATTAGTTTTTTGATAATGCAAATGTTGGTTAGAATCCATTTTCCATTTTTACGACCTCATAATGGCCTTTAACTTTCGTCGTTTCGTGACGATCAAGCTGAAGTTTCATTATAGAGAATGAAAATGATAAAAAACTGGTGAATGGCTTCGATATAAAAAGGCAGTTTCATATCAAAGGGTAATGAATTTGTGCATTACGAGTATTTCTATTTTTTTCACTTAGTCTAAGCCTGGATAGATTGTTGCTTCTATAATTTCATCCATTTTTGGTAAAAAGATTAATTTCATAATCTGGTTTGGTTGGCTTTGCTGACTTTAGAAATAGTCGAATGGTACAATTGCTTTAAGTATAATAAGTTCGATTCCCTGCTTCCTAACAGTAATAAAACTGTCATTTAAAACAATATGAATGATTTTGGCGATCCTGCACTTCAATCGCCATACAATTCTCTGGCAAACACGCTTCACTTCTGACCTATGGAATTTCTTATATATGATAGGCGATATAATAGAAATAGTGGCCATTTATTTACTCACTTATTGGCCATTAATTTAGGAACACTTTGCCAGAAAGTCGCTTGAGGGGAGAAGTATAAATGACTTGCACTGGCCAAATTTTACTTCTAATTATAGGTTTAACGTTGTTAAGAAAGAATCAAATTCGTGATGCTTGGCCTTAATTTAAGCAAATTATCACGCTGCATAATCTTCGACGAATGTTGAAAATGAGGAATAGCGAATCTTAAATCTCATAAAAACATTGAAATTTAAGCTATTTGAAGAGGCAGCAATTATTTATTCGCTTAGTGATTTACGCAAAATAGCATATATCTTATTGCAAATTATTATAATATGAGTCGAAGCCAACAATAATGTCGATCGGTTTTGGTTCATGAAAAATATTACTTCTTTTTTATCAGGAATTAACTAAGAAATTTCCTTAACTATTCGTTCATCGATATATACAATAGACATGACATTAATAGAATCATCAGCTTCTTTACGAGTTAAATATTCATCATTAAGCTTGCAATGAACTCGACTCTTTTGTAAGAGTTTCATCAGTGCTGTGTAAAGAATTGAAGATAAAAAGATAACAGCAATTATTGCGTGACATGTGCCGTAAATCATGAACTGAAATTAACAGCTGAAAATGTTTATCACTTATAATAATAATTTTTAAAGAAAAAATTTGAGTTTCTTATTTTCATAGAAATATGGCAATTTCTTTATGAGAAAATGGTTCGATTCTATCGATTGACAAGAGAAATCTGCCATTTAAGCAAAATTCCAATTAACTGCAGGGAATCGAACTCTTTAATGAAGGGTATTGACCTTAATCAGTTAGAACCAAACCAGCCAAACCAGAAGTAATGAGTGCTATCAAAACAAGAAAAAGGAAAAGGAGGATTTCCTTCTAAATGGAGCACAAACCAATAAAAAATTGCGAATATCAACCTGTATTCGAGCATTTAATCCTAAACCGCGTTTATCGACAATCACTAGCGTTAAAATTGTTTGTAGAATTAATGCTATAAATGTATTCAATCCAAAAAGAAGGCCGTAACTACAGCAGACCATTTTCCTTGCCAAATTCCATCTAAACTCGATAAGTTTTTAAATTATCGCTGCGAAATCCGAGTTCTTATCGGAAATCTTTGATATCCCGAAAAAATGTCACATTTTATAGAAAACGCAGTTTGATTTCCTATGAAATCTCCGAATTACCTCTTAACTCTTTTATACATTAGTCTATCAATATTATTATTCTAAAGCTAACATGTCCATATGTCGATCTTCTATGTTTCCTTAGCTGTCAAACCCGTCAAACCTCACAGCTCAGGAATGAGGACTTGACGAATATGAAAATAGTTTAGCAGTACATGGAGTAGTGTTAAGGAAAAAAATTTTGAGAGAATTTCAAGATGTATATTCTATCTTTAAAACGGTTCTTTTTACTAATAGTGAAATAATAAAAATAATAAATATTATTATTTAATATTAATATTACTTAAGTACTAAATTCTCAAAATTCTCGAAAATACACAATTCTCTAAAAATAACTGAATATAAACTCAATATTTTTTATTGTTTTAACTTATTGATATCGTTGTAATCTACTTCTTCTTGCTTTACTAAAAAACCTTATCTTGAAAAAATCCGTATATATCAGTGCTTGTGATCCAGCTGTAGCCAAGGACCTTACGACAAAGATTCATTATTCAATAGTGTTAACAGCTGAGCCTAATTATTTAAAAAACTTACTGAGCAATAGTTATCATAACTTGATAAAGTGTCCTATAGCCGATATAACAGCCATACATTACATAAATCGAATTCGTTCGACTAAATAACAGTAATAAAGCGCAATCAACTGTGGATATGATAACAAGCGCTATTTCACCCCAACGATCCCAGTCGATCCTTGTTGCATGCATTATAAGAATTGCTGTCGTCGCTGAAATATTTAAACTGGTTTAGTTATTTATGCTATTTTACTATTATAAATAATGTAAATAATGATAAATTATTAAAATTATTATTATCAATATTATTTCATTATTACTATAAATATGTTATTAATTAACTTATTAACATATTATAAGTATCCATATATATTAATATAATATTATTAAATAATAATATTAAAGTTTAATACTGAAACTTAATTATATTTAGCGAGGAATAAAATAATGAAAACAATAACACTGAGGAAGCGAAAAAGGTTCATGAAAGGTAACAAAATGCTTTTTCGGTTAATGCTAATAATGAATATTATTAATAAAGATTAATAATAATGATTATTAATAATGATATATGAAAAATTTGTGCTCATATCATAAAAGGATTTCATCACCTGATGCGGTATAAGTGGCTTCAGCAAATCCATTTAGGGTTCTTTCTTCTTCTTGTACTTCTCCCCACAGTGTTTGTGCATAAGCGCTTACCTAGAATTGCATTTAACCTAGCATTAATAATGATTTTAAAAAGATATAACCAAAAATGGCTGGTAGGATAGACTTGGATGTGCAGATGCTGAATGGTTTTCGCTGAATGGCATGGAAGCCAACTTGTCTCTAACAAAATCGTCTCATTCTAGCCAGTGGAGCGAGTCAAAACAATAATGCTAGCAGAAGAATAATGAGAAAATAAATCATTTACTTAGTTTCGAATCTGAAATATTACCTGCAGTGACATACATGTAGTCATTGCCCACCACAAAGACCACTTACTTACAAAACCAATTGAATAATTAGTTTTTGCATTGCAGTACATTTTCTCGATCCGATATCGGCAATAGGCCAAATACGTCCGTGGAAGTTTCAAATTGTTATCATCTATAGTGCCTGGAAACAAGAAATTTTTTGGCCATCACCAGTCCAGTCTACGATAAGTTTTTTTATTCGCCGAATTAATTTTTAAATGGAATAAATTTGACACACTTTTGGCTGCTTTGGTTGCTACAGTTGTATGCATAGGTGACCACTCTCTAATTAAATATAATTAAATGGCAAACTAAATGTTGTATTTTAGAAGCCATACGAGCTGTTCAAGCCAAAGATGGTGCACATTATTAAAAGAAGTTTTGCAAATTTAAAAGTTGTGGAAGATGCTAATGAAGAAAAGCAAAAGTAGAATTAAATCGAAGCAATCAAAAAGAAAAATCATTATCGCGGTTTTTGAGAAATTACCTGGAGTTTTCTCTATACGATCGATCAGTGTTTTCCAATGAACCTTTGGAAAACATGATGCGATTATTAAAGCGATTATCGGAGAAGCTAGTGAGATTTGATTTATAGTTAAATAAGTGCCTAATTTAGTGATAATGATAAGTTGGCTCATAAGATATCCCACAGTGCGACCAGACATGGATGCAGCACGCGTCCATGATGTTATTCTAAAATTCTTTCAAAATTAATTCAGATGGACGATGGAAAATTTGTAGTTATCGGTATAAAAAATGGAAAAAAAGACTCAAACCGTTGATAATCTCGCTTATCACTGCTTGCATAAATGTATGAATAAAAAGCAATTTCAGACGCTGTTGCTATACCATAAAAAACATGGCCAATTTGTTGCGACAATACGCTCGATAAAAATACTAATGAGACTCTTAAATTCGCTTATTAAACGAGAGATCAAAATTTATAAGTTCCACATCGTTGTTATGTAATTTCATTCATTTTTGCTGTAAGAAATTCGATCCATGATTATTGCAAAGAAATAAGGCTTCGTAATTCCTAAGTTTCCCAAAAATTTATTCATACAGTCAAGGGCATTTAGCTTCACCTTATTTATACAAATCAAGAGCAGCTAAAAACGATACATGGTCTAGGATTTAATGCAAATCTTCATTGTAATCAAGTTTCTTGAACTAATTTTACCATTTCGAAACGAAGATTTTTTTTTTTTTAAAGTGCGCTCACCACTGCTGGTTAGACTTACTCCGCTGGCTTGTCGCAGTATATAAATAGGAAGTACCTTGGGGATAGAATTACAGGTGAATTGCAAGCATCACCCAGATTCTTGGAGAGGCTTATTTCTGCATAGAGGAATAACCTTATGAGCCATTCGTCTAACTTACACGATATATATATATATATATATATATATATCACTGAACTCATTTAGGCTTAGAATCAACCAGATTTTTTTAAAATGGAAATTAATGTTTAAATAAAATAAAATCATCAAAAATATTGTTAAATATTAAGAAATATTTGGAAAATTTTTTATTGGCCATTGATTATTTATGTAAAAGGTTAACCTAAAAACAATATAACCGATATTCTCGCACATTAAAACTGGCTTATAAAGAAGCAAATCTGTGAGTAGAAATATCGGAATCATCGCGATAAGATAGCTATATGTCCAATATGGATATATCTATAAATACACCGTTTCACTTCATATGTTTTACGCAAGTTCCAGAAAATGCAAGGATTTCAAAGGATTTAATTCATATTGCTGAGTATGAGTTTTGGCTGGCATAAATCGTAGTGAGAAATCGTAGTAATCGTAGCAAAACATTTTATAGAAAAATTTATTTTATGGTTTATTTTTGATGTTTTTCTGGATAAATTGAATAAAGCGAAATATACCTCTCCATTTAATTGTTGCTCAGTTAAGTTGAGGAAAATCACATGATATTTGAAGAGGAAAGGTTCACCAGGTTTGAAATCCTTCCAAAATGCATAAAGTATTAGCAAAATGACTTGCAACCACCACTTCATGTTCAAAAAAAGAGTGAATCTAAGAGTTTTTAATATTGATTTATTGAAGCAACAAATTATGAACCGGATTTCATGGCCAAAAATGTATTTTACCGGTACTGCATGAACAAATTCATTCAATAAATTGTTAAGCAATTACATTTTGTGATTCGCTTTAAAAGTCGAACTCTTCAGAAAAAAAAGGGAATTTATGAATTTAAGAAGCAATAACAATTTATGATAAAAGCTGATAAGTAGTTGGCTAATGCAGAATATGACCCATATTTGAATTGTTGAAAAGGACAGAGAGCCTCCTTTATTCGCAAGTAAGGAGAATTACAGGATTACAGCTCAGCGTAGAGCAGAGAAACGCTCTTTTCCTAGGCTTTTGTTCGCTTTTAAATACAATAAGAAACAGACAAAGATAAAATTGCATTAACGGTAAATATCCGATTCGAGGTGGCGAAAACAACGGCAAAAAAACCGAAAAAAATTGCTAATTGCGACAGTAAAACTTTTTCTTAAGAAAATGAAAAATTAAAATAAAAAAATTTTTTTATCGAATATTTGCATTAAAACGATTTATTTATTTAATCTACAATTAATCGCCATTAAATACAAAAAAAATTTAAAATGAAAAAATTTTCTGTAAATAAAAAATAAGTAAAATTAGCCGAATTTTTATTAAAACCAATGAGTTTTTTTAAAAATTCGATTAAAATTTAGAAATTTAGAAATTAGAAATTTAGAAATTAAAAATTTCGCAGAACCATATTTATTGTAGAAAACATTTGTGCGACAATAATAAATATTTTCCCATTTTTTTATTTTGCATATTTAGGGTGCAAAAAAAAAAATTTTTCGTAAAAAATGGCCTTTTGCCCTTTGCAGTTTGGTGAAAACGATTGCTGATTGTGATAAGAAAATTTTTGATTCTATTTCCGATTTTTTTTTTTTTGTTGCACTGTTCGCATGTAAAAATTTTGATAAATATATCAGATCTTTGAGCATTTATGATATTTTCACTTTTTTATGTTCTAAAATATGTTTAAGGATTCATTTAAAGTCCGACACAACAGCAATCAACAAAGAAAAATATTTTTTGGAATAACTTTGAAAAATAATTTCTCCAGTTTCTCTGATTTTTACAAATTTATAAATTTGATTAGAATTTCATGATAAAATTTTAAATTATCATATATGCGAGTAAATTATTATATATAAATTATCAGTTATCATATAAGCCTCGTTATTTCATTATCAGCCTCGATTCGCTTGCTATTAGTAAGAAATTTTTGCCAAGGAATAATTTGGCGATAAACGTATAGCTGATTAGCAAACATCACGCAGATACGATAGATTTATTCTTTTACTCGACGAGAGAAGCAAAATGATTTTAAAGGATTATGAAGGAAATCGATGCATTTAAATTTTCGAAGAACTTATGATGAAATGAAATTGTTCAACTAAAACCGGTATACTCACGTTTTTCAAATTACTTATTTCACATGCAACTTCATAATTTTGAAGAAAAATACCTGGTGATTTTTAGAATAATTCGGCTAAAAAATTCTGCTTCTTCTTTAGCACTACGCACCATTATTGGCTTTGGCTTCTTAGTTGGTTACTTAAGAATGCGCGTTCCCAAGCCGCTCCGTCGTTACCATATTTGAAAATAACAGAAGCCACCTTTTTCCACCGACCCATGCATCACTGAGTAGCCGATTCATCTATCACCTAATTGTCACTTCATGTCTTGATCGGTCCTGTCCTCCTCGTCACCCGTCACATGCAAGTTCCTGCGTTCCTGCGATGCACAAAGAAAAAGCAATAGCAACTAGCGATTTGTGACGAAAATATTAATTAGTACAAATTCTTAATAAAGCGAATCTTGCAAGAATTTTTCGCCTCGACTGGTAAAATCTATGTTAGACATGAGTTAATCAAAATAGATTTTACTCCAATTAGCCTTATTTTGCAGTCACATAACACAAAATAATGCACACTCCATTCAGATGGATGCACATTCGCTTTATTGGCCATATCGCAGCGAAGCCATAGGGGATGGAAAAATGCATTCCTAGAAGCGGCTATCCGCTTGACCACTAAATATAAAAGTGGACTCATCTATTTTTACATTATTCATGAAATCTGGTAGACCAGTAGTTGGGAACTTCTGAGACGTATGCTCTGACAGCCTTTTCTGACTGTTGGATCGCTGATTCCGGTGCGAGTAACGCATTTTGTGAAACATTCTAGCATGGATTTGACTGACTTCAGATACATATCTCTTTAATTGCCAACTCAACAATATTAAAGCTGAGGTATCTCGATAATTCGATTCGATATGCGCTTATTGCTCCTAAATCTTTTAGCTTGAAGTAGATTTGTAGAACGTAATTCCCTATACGTTACCAGTTTTAGGTGGAAATTACAAAATAGCCTGAAAATTGGTAGTGCATTGCGATAGAAGCACTTATCTAAGCACTTATGGAACATTTCTAGTGATGATTATTTAAGACATTATCCAAGACATAATCTATTTGAAATACGTTGGTCGAGGAGTTCTATGTGACTATGGCACACTGGACCCTAACGCCATATTTGCTCATCATGGAGTGATGGTTACTTGAAGTAATCATGGTGTAGGCACGCATTTCAATCTCCCTCAACCATTCTGACCTTTCAGAAGAATATTATTAATAGTTCAAGTATTATATAATTTTATATCTTAGTCATGGCTATCTGCATAAAATAGGCTATGATATTTAGAACTTCATTATCAATCGGGCGTAAGCCATACATTAACCGGTTATTAGAGTCGCCGCACTATTTCGTTCCGAATAATGCAAGGGAGAAAATGCCGCATTCAGTGCCTCAGACACATAAAATAACCGGTCGACTCGAAATTCTGGGCTTCCAACAAGTGATTTCCACATATTTCGACAAAATGTAGATGATTATCGCCTAAATTCTAATATCCATAAGCATTCTGACTTTTTACCATATTATGGCGAGAATTTTTCCCTATGGGCCGATAGAGCCGTTATAAAGTTGTTCATTTTCATCTTCTAGAAGTTCCCAGCAGTTATCCGAGCTACCCTAGAATTGTCTTTCTGACACTTTGGGATCAAACCCTGTTCGCATAATACTCATCTAGAAGTATTAGAAATATTGTGTATGTCGGTGGATGGGGACGCCGTACCAATATAATAACCAAACCCTTTAAGCATAGAATTACTTGGGAATGGGAATATGGAACAGATCGTCCTCACCAATTACCCAAATGCTATATTTTTTGTGGCAAGTTTTTTCTGTAGAAATAAAGAAGGATGAGAAAGACAAGAAAAAGGTTTCAAACTTTTTTTAATACTGAAACTTAAAATTAAACTTAAGATTTAAGATTTAAAAAAACTCAATTTATTGATACAGAAAAAAATCAAATAGGAAAAATTTTTGGGTTTTTAGGAATAGCAATCAATTTATAGCATTCAATTTAAAATAATTTTTTGTTCACAATTTTTTTATAGTACTTATTACTGTTGGTTTTTTTTAAGAGTCCTCACCATTACTGGTTAAACTCGCTCCACTGGCTTGTCGCATTGGGCAATATGCTAGGTAGTCCTTTAGCGATAGAAATACAGGTTAATCGCCAGCATCACCCGGATTTTTATACAGGTTTGCTCCTGCGGAGAATCGAACCTCAGCATCGGCGCTCCCAATCGAGCGACAACCCATTAGGCTCATTCCACTAGCTTGCTGGGCTAGACAAATATGCCAATAAGTCGTTTGGCAATAGAAATATCGATGAGCTGCCATCGTCACCTGGATTTTTGAAGAATAAACTTGCTCATGTTTATATAGGTCAAAGTATTGGAAAGCTTAGAAAAAATATTCAAATATTTAAAAATACGAATCTAATAAATTAATTCAATAAATATTAGTGATGGCAAAAATGATATATAAGATACATAGTTGAATATTAATAGTGAAAATTTCTTAAAAGAATTATTCGCCGATCAATCGCCATATTTAAAATTAGATTTTTTTCTAAAAATTTCGCACTTAAAAAATGCAAAAGCGAATAAAACAATTAAATAAATAAATAAAAAGCCAGCCTTGGGGTAGGATAGCCCACTTGATCATCCTGTATTACTCTGTTGCGAGTTTTGTGGGAAGTAAGTCTTATACTATTAGTCTGTGAAATAAGCAAAAACATAAGAGAAGTAGTGAGTGCTGTTAAACGATGGCAAAAAAATGAAAATGAAAAAATAAAAATGAAAGAAATAAAAATATTAAAATATAAATAATTATATTTTATCATAAATAATAGGATTCTATCGGAAAAAACAATTCTTTTTTTTCTTTGAAAAACAAATAAATAATTAGAAATGTATCGAATAGATAAATTTTAAAAATTTCTTTTTAAAAAAATGATATTTCATCAAAGAAAAAGAAAAAAATTGCAAAGATTGAAACATAATCATTGTGCGATAATAATGACAAAATCAATTGTATATGAATCAATTTTTCTTATCATCATGATAACGTTTTCAACTATAAAATTTGATAGCGAAAAATATCTATTATCAGATTATCAGAGATTTCCTAAGCTAACCTGTTTTGTCACTTATCAGTTTGATTAATAATATTAAGGAAATGAAAAAACTAACAAAATAAGAAAATAAGTGGTTAAGCGCCTATTTCTAGTTAAGACTGTTAGCACTAAATTTTAAATACATTAGTACATTAGTAGAGTCAGCACCATCCAAATTCTAGGATAAATTTATTCTTATTTCTGCCTCGAACCTCTAATACTCCATGCAGATCGAAGCAAATACACCACTTCACCATTCCTAAATTCAGGTTGATTATAATTATATCAAATTACCATTCAAATCAGAAAAAGCAAATTAGAAATAAACTATGACCATCTTTCATTTGGCTCATTTTTTAGCAGAATAAGGCAGATTCACCAAATGTAAATAAAGAAGTACAATTGGATGTTCAGCACTATTCTAAGATTTTTTAATCTAAGCATCATCGAATTATCAATTATCAATTCAAACAGGAAGATCAAAAGTAAATCAATCTTTAATGATTATCGTAATCACTTTTTTACGCCATATTTGCTGTTGATTAAATAATATTTATCAAATGATATAATATTATTTTTTAAAATGAAATTTTAACATTTATTTATTCGACATATTTATTATTATTTATTTGTTTTTCAAAAAAGAAAGTAAAAATCAAAATTCATAAATCAATTTTTATTTTACATTTTAGTTACAAAATTCGCATTTAAAAAAAAAAAAACAAACTGATAAGACCAGAAAGTGGCAAAAAATTTATTGGTTCGGAAATGTGCCGAATCTATTTCTTTAAAATTATCAATTAAAGGATATAAATGTCAAAAAAAGATAGTTAAAGAACAAATTATCACTTAAACAAATTCGATGTTATGAACCGAGTTTAACAATCGAAAAAATCAACACCTGGAAATCGGTGATTCTTTTTCAATTTTAGGTCAATATTTCATGGAATTTCAGGATTATATTTGATTTAAATATTTATCATTTACTGCTTCATAAGAAAAAATGAAAAAATTATAAAGTAGTTTTGCCAATTCTAAATAATCAAATACCATCATTTCTATCAGTAATACTTTTGTAGAAATATCATCACGCATCTTAACACCTTAAAATACAAGTGATAATTAATAACCATTAGAGCGAACCTAATAATTAGAAATGTTGATTACTAAACACTTAAATGAGAATAATTTTTCTCTGATTTTTTTAGCGATTTTTTATAAAAATCCTCGTCCTCGTTATTCTTATCATTTTATCGTCCTATTGCCCTATTAATCCAATACGAAATATTTTCACTATTATTATATAAATAATTTGCTCCACAAAAATGAATTGAGGATATTAGACTTCTCTCTGTGAATATTGAAAATCCTTTGCTTCTTCATTAATGAATTCATTCTTCTTGCGCACTTAAATATTTAAAATATGGTTCATCGGCAAATTCCAATGCTTTTATACATTGCTTCGAGTTTTGGATTTCGGTTATTGGTGAATTTTTGGCTAATAATTTTACCTGCGAAATGTTAAACAATGGTTAACCACATTATTCTTTTAGAATTTTTTCAGGCTAGAAATAGGCTACAGAATATGCATCGCATCCCAGTACTTACTCTAGTCTCTCAAGGCTATTAGCTTGCTTTTTGCAATTCTGATTTCAATTTTGAAATTCTGATAGCACATGAAGTTCCACATATATTCTGCCATCAATTACTTCCTCAATTATTTCCAACGGAAATATACCAAAGACAATGGTTTAGTTCTTAAATAAGTATAACAACTATTCTTGACTCGGAACTACTCTTGATCCGGAATCTCGACACTTCATTTCATTCTTTTCGACTGGAAAACAATAAATTTGTTGACTTTTTTCTTCTAACAGCACTCACCATTTCTGATTAGTTAGGTTTGTCAAATAAGGCAAATTTTGTCATTATTAGCGAGTCATTTGGCAATATAAATAATCGGTTATTACTCGGATTTTTGACAGAGAATCTTCAATCCTGGCAAAAATATAAATCCTGCTCGGATATGAGACAATTCACTGAGCCATTGAACCATTCTTCTCGATCTAACTAGTGACTGTTCATAAGGCTCAAATTTTGATTTTTTTAAAAAAATGTGATCTTCTAAAAACACTTGAAATCTTATCCTTTATTAGAAAATTCTCCCAGTTGTCTTTTCAAAGAAGTTGGCTTATTCGTTATCATTGTTCAATGCTATCATTCTTCCCGAACTTCCATTGAACTTATTATGGATTCTTCAAAATGGACTAAAGAAATTAACAGAAGCAGAAATCTCATTTCTGGACATTTTCTTTTTTTGCTTGATTATTTTCTGGAATAAGAATAATAGAAATAAATTAAGATGGCCAGTGAGAATGGAAGATATCAAGGTATTTGCCTATGGTTTTCTAAAGTACATTTTAAATCACCAAGCAAATAGAATCGCACGTGTATCATCTTCCACTCATTTAATATACATATTAGTACTACCATTATGGAGGGCTATCTAAAGTGTTTACTCAATTCTCTCTCATGCACCACAGGATCTGATCATATTTGCTGCATCTTGATGAACTCATTCAAAAGCCAATCAAATTGTTCAATGAAGCAGTCAAGAGAGATTTTGAAGGCGTAAACGATATTCAGGACTGGATGGTGGATAAAGAAATGATTCCCACACTCTTAGGTGTGGCATGAGCCCGAGTGGCCTCGAAATGCCTTATCGTTGTAGTCAGGCAAATTAGTGGTGCGAGCTTTTAAAAAAAGAGATCACTTTACGACGAGAAAATATCCATTTTGTCATTTTAAGAGGTTCTTTCTTCTAATATTACACACTATTTTCAAACAGTTTGGTGAGCCCACAAGTTCAGTGAAACTACTAAAGAGATAATTTTTTCAGAGGACGGAAGAAAGTTCGAAATGAAATTAACAGAAGCCGACGGACGCATCCAAATCATATGCTCGATAACTGCGTCGTTTATATTCACTTTCTCCCTACAATTATGGCCAATTATCAAATCTTCTCATTTATCATTTATCACTTTATTAATTTTTCTATTGTAATTCAATTAATTGAAAAAGCACTGAAGAAAAATTTTTAAAATTTAAAGAATTTTTTTAGTGCCAATTTGTTTGTTTGTAAAATTATAAAATTTTATACGACTTAAATTTATGTATTAGGATTTGTTGTTTCGGTGATTTATTTTTCCATTCATTCGTCCATTCTAAAATAAAAAAATTAAAAAAAAAATTAAAATAAAAAAATTAAAAAAAATTTCGACCAGAAAAATTTAACAATTTGTGAAATAAATATCACAAAAGTTTTTAAAAGAATATTCCAAATTTAATTATTTTGTTTAATTAATAAAATAATTGGTCGTTTTGCCTCGATTTATCACTTAACAAGCCTTTCTCCGTTCCGCGTCCGCGTTGTTTGTGGAATTAAACGACCACAATGTTCCGAAGGTGGTTGAGCGGCGGGGTTCGGTTCCTGAGAGTCACCTCACGATAGAAGTATAGGTGAGTTGTGAGTTCCACTAGAATTTTCCGGTGATAGATGGTTTCACTTCTCTACCAAAATCAGAAACATTTTGCTTGATGGTGCATTCATATGGTACCTTCGCTTCCATACATATTTCAAAATATACTAAATTTTATGGCAAAATTTGTTTAATAAATCATAAAAAATCGAGCTGTTATTATTTTTTGCACATTGGATTTTCATTTAGTAGGTAACAGTGAAGGTACAGATATTAGTAAATAGCACGTTCACAAAAAAATCGACAATTAACTCCTTCCCCCTCTCCATTAAAAAATCGATAATCCCCTCCAGAAAATCAATAACCCTTCTAATCAAATAGGTCAATAAGACCAATAAGTGAAATCCCTTTGGAAAACCAATAAATCCTGTCAACAAAATGAATCAATAACTCATCCTTGTTCGATTCCCCGCGAAAATTCATTAATTCCCCTCCATTAAGAAAATCAATAAGTTCCCCATTCGTCAAGCATTAATCTTTTTCTCTCTTATTTGCCAATAATTTTTAGTACCATTGTTATTGTTTGTCTCGCATTCTAACTCTCTTCACTTCGTATAATATTTTTACAATAATGGTGTGGTACCTCCTTGGCAGATTGCCAATCTCGACTCTTATTTATAATCTCGATTCTAGTCGATACCAATTGCTCTATCATTTGTTCCACACTTGTTTTTTCTTCACTTTTTTTTTATACTTATTATTATTTATACTTATTGACCTTTTGACCTTTCCTATATTAATTACTATTATTAGATATTAGGTAATTATAGTTGTTATATTTATAGATAAGCAAATAAATTATTGTAAATTGGTTTTCAGGTTGACCTTCGACCCCTACTGGATTTTATTTTATATGAGAAAATAGCAGCACATTTAACACGTTCCTCTCTAATCTCATTCATTCAAATTATTCGTTAAAATGGACTATAGAAATGAGAAATTTTGTATAGAAAAATTGTTATTTTTCGAATTCATTTTCGCAAAACCATAGTCAATTTATTAGAATTATTTAAAACAAAACCAAAACAAACAATAAATTAACGAAAATACTATAGAAGCGAGAATTTGTAAAGCGAAACTGGCGAATAGGCGAATGTTGTCGCCGCTTGGATCGGAGTGGTCGCCTGAATAGGCGAATGTTGTCGTCGCTTGGATCGGAGTGGTCGCCTGAATAGGCGAATGTTATCGTCTGTTTGGATCGGAGTGGTCGCCTGAATAGGGGCAAATGTTGTCGTCGCTTGGATCGGAGTGGTCGCCTGAATAGGCGAATGTTGTCGTCTGCTTGAACTGATCAAATAAACGCTGACTGTGTCTATTCGATTTCTTCTTCTAACATTGTTTTAATACTGTTACTGGTCTGACTAACGACTAACAACAGATGCCATGTGTAAATTATCCAAGAGCCATTCCTTGAACGGCTGTACTCTGAAGCCATCTGCATATTTAAAATCCTTCATGATCGTGTCGACCTACGACTTGATTGGACATCACTGGCTTCGCCGTCGTTTATTATAAAGTTTGGTATGGAATGAGGTATGCGCCAGTTTTTGAAACGGTTTTTTGCCAAAATCTAAAGTTCCACTCACCAAAAGGTCAAATTCTGAGTTCTTCTTAGACTTTTACCTATTTGGTTAGATCATTTTTGCTTCAGAATATACTAAATTAATATTATTTATATTTAGCAAATTTTTTTAATAAAATAACCTTTTGTTTAATGAATTTTTATGAATTTTTATGCTTAAATCATTTAATAAACTTTTAATAATGCATAGTTCTTCGTTTCGCTCCTCAGGTGAGATTTTGGTAACCAAGGCCATTGATCAAATTGTGCAGATAACTGAGTAGACCACCGCTGCGATCTTCAAACTGGTTCCAACATCCACTTGTCGGAATCACTGACCTAGAATCACGGACCATTGGGCACTAAATGAGATCATTAATCTGGTTCCTCAAGTGAAATCCTGGAAATGCATTTATTTGGATCCAGAGACTATTAGTCCGTTTCTGCGAACAATCAAATCTGGTATCATTGATCTAGTTTTCTTTCCACTGACGGGAAAACACCATTCTATCTAGTTCCACACCTTATTGATTTTATAGAAATCCACCGAAACCATCAATTTCTTTTATAGTACCATGGCCATGGTTATAGTTCTTTCCCATTCTCTAATCTTTTCTTTTCAAATCTCTGCTTTGATTTTGATAAATTGAACAAAATTGGCATTTAATTATTTTTTCATGAGGTTATGATTTGTGGATTTTGGTTCGTTTTCTTTGTCATAATTTTAATGGATATTTTTTAAGTACTTGTGATCAGAGTTCAACCATAATTAGATATTAGATATCAAGGTAAGATCCATACTTTTAATATCTGCTACATTCATTAAAATTTCAGATAAAATGGGGGATTTTGGTGAACCAACTTATGTACAGGCACATGGAGGTAAGAACGATGTAATTTTGTATCGATCGAGAACGAATCCCGATTTGGCCATTGAATTTTTCTTTCGGTTGGTTTTTGGTGTCATTTTTTTCTTAGCCAAATTCATTCATTGAAAGTAAAATCCGGCCATCTCTGCCACCATTTTTAACTGGCTATTTGACGAAAGGTTTTCAATAGCCCGGCAGACCAGAAATATTACTAGAAAAAAAGTATGTGTTTGGAAAGATTATGAACAAAAAGTTGATTTGATTCGATTTTTCAGTTAAGAAATTTTTTTCTTGCGAATTAATATTGATTAATTGATTTCAGGTCATCGTCTAAAGATGGTCGTTCACGTTATTATCGTTGTACGAATTGTTGGTATTTGTACAAGCAAAACCGTGGCACTTGCGCGACATTAATTGTCCGCGATGGTCGTATAATAACAGATCCAGAGAACCCTGTAGTACCACATCAATGTAATTTTAAAACAATGGAAGCAGTGACAGCCAATCGTTCATGGATTGCGAATCGAAAACGTCGTTCAAAAATGGAATTAATGAAATTGATATTCGGTCGAAAGGCACCTGAAAATGGTAATAAAAGGTTCGTCGATGTTACGTTTCATCAAATAATTGTTAAATATTATGAATAAGTGGTAATTTATAAGCGGTTTTTTGTAAATTATAAATCTTTTTTCTTTTTTTTTAAATTGTAGGTTTTCATAATGTTTTTTATTTTTCATATCTTTTTTCATCTTTTATGGCAAAATTTTGATAGAATGGATTGATTAAAACGTGTTTTTACTTTGCAAATCTAAAACTGCGGTTTTGACATAGTAAAGAACTTTTTAATGGAACCAATATGGAATCTGCATAGAACCGCTCTCTTATTGATAAATATTAACAGTCCTTCACTTTTTGGCGGAGTATTTCATTTTTAATAATTAAGTTTTATATTCTTGAAAAGGTGCAATAACATTTTTGTAAATTCATAATATTGACGTGAGATTTCACTTTCGCGGACCGCAAAATCGGAATTTTCCATACAACGACCGCGATAATTAAAATATAATATTTTTATATTTTTGTTACTATATGGCGGCTGATGGGGTTATTTCCTTGTTTCGTTGAATGATTGGTTGGTGATGTAGAATGTACATTTTTGTTAATTTAGCTGGTAGATAATGGAGTATTTTTAATTTGGACTTGTTTACATGCTTCTGACTATGTGTTTGAGGAAAAATGAATGAAATTCAATGACTTCAAATTTTTTCTGAACAATTTTTTCATTTTTTTATTATAATTTCAAATTGTGATTTGTAATTTCATTGCAATTTTTTAAGAATTCTCGAATTAAAAGGTTTATTAAAAAAAGATATTAAATTGGAAAATGAAAGGAAACAGTTTCCAGGTCGAATAATTCTAAAGAGAGGCCTTCTGGACCTTTGTCTGATTCACTTATTTCGTCAGTTAATACTTCAACCAGTAAGTGGTGATTTTATTTCATACTTCCTCATCATTTGAAGTCCATTTCATATTTTCTTTAGGAAAATTAAAGCCATGAGAAAGGATGAATTATACTTTTAAGTGATGATTTAATTCCAGATCTGTTGGAGAATATGTCGCGGTCGAATTCACAAGGGTCCTCCGATTCTGAGTCGTCTAACTGTGCAGGTATTTTTTCTGCTCTTGTTTGCGCCAAAAGAGTTTTAGTTTTAGAAACAAGAAATAAGTGAAGAGATTATAATGAATATTAAATACGCTTATTTTGGCAGATACTTCACCGAGGTCAAGTACTTTTACTTCCATCATAGATGCTGCATTTAGCCATTCTATGAAAAATGAATATGAACAAGCTTTAAGCCAATTGAAAATTGCCTACGAATTGAAAGAGCCTTTTGACGTTGGTATGTTTTCAGTTTTTGCACTTAAAAATGATCATTCAAAAAGTTATGAATTCATGATGATTGATTATCAGTTTTGATAATCAAAGTTGATTTTATCAATTATAAAATAAAGTTTATGAGCAAAACGACTCTTTTGATATTTTCTTTTCTTAACTTAATTTGTTTTTAGATGACGTCTCTCTAGTCGATAATGTATTCGCTTGTCGATTAAATGCAGCCTCTGATCCTCAACAGAAATTAACTTTATGTGAAGAGTGGCTTGATTTTTTGCTAACTCTTACTCTTCCTCAAGTTATTTCATCGAGATGGCTTGCACCATATCAATTTTCTATATATTATTGCTTTCATTTGGTTTGTTTTTAAAAAGATATTTTCGAAAAATGTTAAATATAGGTTATTATCAAAGAAATTTTTAACTTCTCAACCTTTTTTACATGCTTTTAAATTGTTATGTTTATTTGTATATATTTGCGCTAATTAATTGTATTTTTTTGTGTATATTTAGCCTCTTTTTTAGGGATATTTATTGTTCCGACAGGTGGCAGACAGTGACAAAAAAAAGTTTGCTTTCTACGAATTGGCTAAAACTTTTTATGTGTGAGTTTTTGTATTCCTTTGATAATTTTTTTGTTTGAAATTTAGTTTTTTGCAACTAATTTTCTTTCAATGCTACTAATTCGATTTATCTGCTTTTCTTAATAAAAATAGTAGTATAAAAAGATTGTTCTAATCATGATCATTTTTTCTAGCAAGAATTTCAGGAAAGTTCAACTTATTAAATTAAATTCTGCTGCAAAATGCTGCAAAAACCTTGGATTATTTTTTGTATTTTTTTGCATTTTACTTTTTTTCATTACTTTTCATTACTTTTTTAGGAACATAATGGATGTCGTGAATAATCTTTCTGAGCCAGCTGATGAAATAGTGATATTAAAATTGGATATTCTCATTGCCATTTCTTATTTATATGGTCAATATTATGACGTTTCTGATGGTTATTTAGGAATCTTTGCGAAAGTTGGTTTAAAAAAGTTAAATTTTAAATAAATAATGAAGATAGAGAAAAGGAAAATTAAAAGCTAAATTAATTTGATGAATATTTTTAATTGAATTATTTTCGAATTGTAATTATTTTATTATTTTGTAAATTTTTACAGTTAGCTTTAAAAACATTTTTCAACAAGAAATAAGTGAAAGAATTATATTAATTAATTAATTATATTAATACGTTTTTTTTGGCAAATGCTTCAATTTTCTTTAAAAATTGTTTAATCGTTTAATTATATTATCAGTGACTGAATCTCCCATCATTATTTATATGTTTTTACGCTTATAGTCATTTCTTGTACGAAATTCGCAAATTATAGGAGCAACTTACTGCGCTCCATGAAACATTGCCACCAAATCTTTCTGAAGAAGTAATGAATTCGGTGACGCATAAAACTATTCGTGTCAATAAAAATCTAGACGAAGGTTGTCGAGCTTTCTGTCCAAAGCAGAATGCACTTGAATCTTGTAAATAATTCTCTTTTAGGGCATCTCTTTGTTTAATATATCCTATGATCTCTTATCATTGACATCAATATGACCGAAGAAGATGCGATGATGAAGCTCTTTGGAAATTTTTTTTAAAGAGAGAATTTAGAAATTTTTTTCATTCAATTAGCTTCTTCAAATCTTCTGATTCTCCTTCGTTACCTCTGATTTCTCAACGATTTCAAGGATATTCAAAGAATTTTGAGGTTATATCTTAGTTGAAGGGAAACTCTGTTTTAATATCCTTTTTATGTGCATATAGTAATAAATGGTTAATAAATGGTATATCTTCATCGAAGAATACCAAAAAAGATTTATAAAACGTTTAAAATTGTGGTTTTAAAAATGTAATTAAGTTATATTTTGATTTCTAGTCTTCAATTTTTCCTTTTTTTTTAATATTTTTATTTATCATAAGATATTCGTTATTCGAGAATATTCCGTCATATTGCCAATATTTTTTGAGTTTTTGAGAAAATTGTAAATTTTAAAAGTTTTCTACTGTCGTTGCAAGGATACAAAATGATTATTTATCCTACTATAAAAAAGGGTTGAATATTCTCAGCGAGTTTTTTTATAGTCTCCATCGATTTTTATAGAAGGCTTTTTAAAACAATGCTCAATGTCTTTATTGTATCGGTAGAACACCTCTAATTTTCATCTATTTTTGTTCATAAATCATCACTTTAAATTGTTTAATTCAGATGGATTTTGGTTTTGTAATTAATGAGAAATTAATGAAATTAGAATTGAAATGAACATCCATCCGAAATATAATTTTTTTGTATATTTATTCATCTTATTTTGTGCATTTTACTTTAAAACCAAAAATGAATTGATGTCAACATGAAAGTTGATAAAATTTTGTCATGTGAATCTCTCAGTATCTCTGTTTATGGCGCATTTAACCTTTCTTCATTTTAAGTAAGTGGTTAAAATGCTCAACAATTCTGGTTAGATTTCATTAACTGGTTGTTAATACGATTTAAAATTTTTCGAGAATTCACTCGGCGATAGAACCCGAATATATATATTATTCTCGAAAGCAGGAACCAAGTCCTTTCTTCTTTCTCGCTAATTAGTGCTCGCTAATCTTTCTTTTTTCCTGAGAAACCTACTCGTTTCTACGACCCCTCATTTAAGAAGCTTAATCTTTAGTGAGGAGCAAATAAAGATTGAAAGATTGGATTCTCAATGAACTCAAAAATGATAAAAGCTATAAGCTAATTGGTTTGATAATCCAACAGATTTTTTTGCGTAAAAATTGATTCTTTCATACATTCTTTGCGAAGGCAACAAGAAATTTTTATATAAAAGCTCCCAAATTTATCCATGTAAGAATAGCTACAATATATCGAAAAATAACGAAATAGTTGAAAAGAATGAGAAGCAATTCGTGAAATTTGTTGGAAGTACAGAAGTCGTTGAAAGAAAATATCAGTTGAGACGGCGGCCTTATAGTGTTTGGTCGGTCACTTCGGTATTTCATTCTTTTCGAAGAGAATTAAAATGAAAGTTTGTTTTAAGGATCGAAAACCTACATCACTGCATGCAAAGCACAAATACAATTGTGCAAATCAAACAGTCGCGGGTGAAATAAATGCCATTTTTCATAAAAGATCAACGATACAATTACAAATATTATAGATTTGATTAAATTATACGGTTAATTATAAATCAAAAATCACCTAAATTACAAAGTTAGCGCTCCCCTTGCAGTTATGGCGATTTCGTAGCATAATCCCCTTGCAGTTCCATCATTTTTAGTAGTTTCTCCCCAAGAAGTGTTCCAAGACCCTCCATGGGGTAGGTACCACCTTCATTGAGAGTCGTTTTCCTAAAGCACTACCCACTCGACTATTCTGCAGCTTGGTTCTTCATCTTATGTATTTATATATATTTTTGTATATATGTTTGGTATCATCCAATATTGCTTCAATACAAATATTCCATTACATCGCAATGCGTTATTCCTATATTATTTTGTATGAATCTTGAATCCTTTAAAAGTTTATTCATTTTATTCAGTTTTTAAATTTAAATTTGAATAAATTGTTCTTAGAAATTGAAACTTTTCTTGCTTCTGATGGTAATGCGAGGTTCAAAATTTCAGGAAAGAGAAAAATTATTGAAATGGTGATTTAAAAATAAATAATATACGGCGAGAGAATGAACAAATTCTGTAGATTTCTACAAAAACGGAACTGAAATTGAGATCGAAACAATATTTGGTTAAATAGTGCTTATATAAAAATATTTCTATGAGATGTTAAGAAGTCAGAAAATGGTAAATAAATAAATAATTCCAATAATTAAAAATGAAAAAGATTGCTGCGTTAAAATTGCTGCGTTCAGTTAATCTTTTACGACTTGGCTGCCTAATATTGTAAAGGATGCAATCGAAAAGCAAAAGTGCCAAGCAAGAAAAAAAAGGGAAAATCTTAAAACGACCTGAAATAAAAAAAATTCGCGATCATCGAATGGAACTAATCGACCAACTATTTTATATTAAATTTATCGAATATTCATAGGCGTTTATTTGAAATTTTGAGGGGAAAAAGAAATTCGATTGCACACATTGGAGACTGAACGAGTCAAATTCATCAGATTTGATATGAATTTTTCGACTTTTATATTCTTTTAGGGTAAATTGAATGCGCGAAAATCTATCGCCGAATCAGGGAAAATGACGATTTTAACTTATATTATCAATTTCAACTTCGATATTATTGTTATGCGAATTAATTTCTGCTTGATCATCGATGTTTTGCTTTTGAACTGAAGACGACTCATTGCATTTGACACTTTCATCAGTTGCCATTTCCTCTTCCTTTATCCTTCGCAATCTTTCATGTTTCCTGAATTTCGCTCGACGATTTTGAAACCAAACCTTAAAAATTTTTTTATTAAATTTTCATTATTCAAAAAATAAAAATTGATTCAAAAAAAGTACGCCAATTGTTAATTCAAATAAATTTGTTCGTAATAAAAATAAATAAAAAATGGTTAAGGAATTTAAAATTACAACCAAAAAGAACCATTTAATATCATATAAGAATTCCATGAAATATTTTCTGCTCAATGGGTTCGATTTTTATCCCCTGGCGGAAGGAACTTGTCATTAAAAATACTGGTGCGGGTAATAATGCGCATTTGCAATCTCTAAGTGCGGGTGATAATACCTACCTGCACTATCATTCTTGCACCACTGACTCTCTTGGTTTCCCAGAATTCTTGTAAAAGTAGATCAGTAGATTTCGATTAAACTATTGGAGTAATTTTGATGATTCACAGTTTCAGCGATACTAATATACTAGTTTTCATAGTGAATAATTCAACTGGAATCAAGATAAAATCTGCATCAGTTTTATGTCCCTAAATCTGCCTTCAAGAGACTTTTCATATTGTTGTGAAAGTACAATAATAACTAACTTGAACTCGTGCCTCAGTTAAGTCGATTTTCATAGCTATATCTTCTCTTGTATAAATATCTGGATAATGTGTCTCCAGAAAAGCACGCTCAAGCTCTTTTAATTGACCTGATGTAAATGTTGTTCGAATTCTTCGTTGTTTTCGGCGTTCACAAGGATTGCTATTATTACATATGGCACCTTAATTTGCGCAAAGATAATAGTTCAAAAGTTAAGTGTTACACTAGTGAAGCATGGAACTTTCAAAAATAATACTGAAATAACATTAAAAGGAGTAATTTGAAAAAGTGTGAAGAGTGAAATGAGTTTAAAAATATCTGACAAGAGATTTCATAAGCACATATAGGCCATGGAGGATTTTAAAAAGCATTAAGCATTTTAACTATATAAAGGAATAACAAAGGAAATTGTACCAACAAAAGAGGAACTAGGTATACCAGCCATTAAACTGGCTGTGTTAGAACGCATTGCATCTGTTCCCGGCAATAATGTTGCTTGATTGTGATAAAATTTGTATGGAAGGCCTAAATATTACGCCGATAAGGCAAATATTGAAATATTAAAAATCAAATTCATAAAAAAAATCAAAAAATAAATAAAATAATGATAAAAAAATAAAAAATAATAATATTTAATGATAATATAATATAATAATAATATAATAATAATATAATAATAATAATATAATAATAATAATATAATAAAAATAATATAATAATAATATAATAATAATATAATAATAATATAATAATAATATTTTAATATAATACTAATATTTTAATAATTAAAATCAAATCAAATTCATAATTCATGAAAATTAATGTGTTAATACAATTTTTGGACAAAAATTTATACCAGTTTGAAAGAATGCTTGCAGCGAATCTGGTCGGCGATATGTAGAAGAATTCCCAGCATTGGACAGCGAAGATGATGAAGATGTTGCTTGCACGACTGATGGTGGAATGACAGATTGGGTACCAGCGAGGTGCCTAAAAATTTTTAACTAGAAAATTGATTTTAAAAAGTTTTTTTAAATCACTGCGTTTGTGATACCTTTGACGCCTATCAAAACTATCAGTTTATATGAGACTGGTAGAAGGTCCATGCATAACAGGCGTATTAACTGTAGAAGCTTTCTCCTAAGTTTCCTAAAATATTTTTAATCAATTTACTCGATCTACCTTCCTCATTCCTTATTTTAAGTTTCCTTCATTAATTTTATCAGTGAATTATAAAATGCAAAATAATAATAGAAAACATTATTTAAAAATGGTGCCCGGAACTGCTAATGCTGCTAATTTTTTAGTTAATGTTAGATGATTTATAAAAGTTTATCTATAAAAATATCCATGAATGAAAAAATTGGTCTAAATTTTGCACCTAGCTGTTTCAGCTAGTTGACCATACGAACTAGCATAATGGCCATAAAAGTGCTGTTGATGCATATTGGCGCCATATGTGCTACCAGTAGATGTTGCATTTGTTGCGGCGAAACCTAAGCTAGCATTGAGATGAAACGGATTTGTAGCATGTGAAGAATCCAATGCGTTTCGTTCGGCGGAATGTGCAGAAAAATAACCGCCATAGTCCATCATTTCACATTCCTAAAAGATTCTCGAATTTCTTCAAAAAAAACAGCAATTGTTCAAAAATATAAGGCAATCGCGAGTTTTATAGAAGGACTGGTTTATTTCAAAAATTGCTGAATTGCTGTGATTCAGAAATTCTTGAAATTTATGGAGACAAACAACCAAAATCATATTTCTAGAATTTCGAATTTCTCGAATATTGAATTTAGTGAAAGCGGAAAAAAATAAAGAATGAGCTAAGACACTGCGACTTGTTTCAACTTATATAATTATCCTCATAATTTAGAATTTTCCAGCTTTAAGCCTTATAATTAAATAAAATTTGAAATTTTTTAAGGAATGCGGCCGTTATAATGGTCATTAAGCCTATTAGTTAATGCCATATTACTGATGCAGCTTCAGGCAATTTTTCATTTTCTTAACAGGTTACATGGTTCTATCGAATAATTGTTGTTGTAATAGCACCAATGAAATTAAACTTGTTCAAACCTCCAAAATAATAATTTCCTCGTATTTTATTTATAAACTGATAGGATTAAAAATCGCACCAAATGAAATAAAAAATAAAGTTTCGACCTCCAAATAAAGTTTCGGATAAATTTTTTTTTCGCTTTGGTATTAAAGCTAAATCTTAGATGTATTTAATTCAAAAGTGTGAATTAACCCAAATGAAGTATTAAAAAAAAAAGTGAATTTTTTAAAATTTATTTTAATTTTTAGTGAAATTTTTAAATTTATTTTAAAAAAATCTTTTAATCAAAAAATTGCAAATCAATTTTATCCATTAGAATAATTATTTTAATCGTTATTGAATATTCTTCATCAAAGTTTTTTTTTTAATATCTTGCATCTTTTTTGAAAAATTTTCTCTGCACTTAAAATGTTTTAAATTTATTACTATTAGTGGAATCTTTTGACCAGAAAATTATTTAGGGGACGGAAGGAGGTGCTTTCAGCATCAACTGAACTTTTCAATGATAAGGCTACTCGTAATGACAAGTTAGGACCGCACCAGCATTTAGTTCGTAGGTGATCGTTATAAGAACTAAAATATTAGTGAAATAATCGCATAAGATCTTAATTATTGGCCAAATACAGTATAGGAAGCCAAAATTAATTTCTTTCTACCTTTCAATCAATTTACTCCATTGCATTCACGTTATTTAACGAAGCAGTAAATTTGATAGGTGATTATAATAAAAGAATAATTCAAAATTATCTTTCGAGGAACAATTTAATATATGAATGAAAAAATTAGATCTGATGGAAATTAGCCAAGCCATAGATTCGCTGGTAATATCGTTTAATCGTTTCGTGATTCAGCGGACGATTCTGGGTCCACCCTTTAGGAAATTAGCCGAGCCTTAGATTCGCTGGTAATATCGTTTAATCGTTTCGTGATTCAGCGGACGATTCTGGGTCCACCCTTCAGCTTTCTTTGATTGGATATCCCGCACATTCACATTTGTATATCTTCGCTTTCTTATTAACAACTGATACACCGTAGTAACGAATATCGTATCCTTTCTGTTTTTTATTAAGTTCCATTTAATCGTTTAAATTTAGAAATAATTTTGCTTAAAAGATTATTAATGTTATTAAATATTCTTTCAATTCGATTATCTTGCTCGAAATTTTTTTTTTTCTTCATTGGAGCAGTGAATTGCAACAGACTTTTCATGAATTCATGAATCTCAAATCCTCATATCTTTTGATAAAATCCATATTTTATAACTTTCAGGGATGACCGAGGGGCCTGGAAAAGTTTTACTGTAGTCATTAACGGAATCAGCTAAACTAATAATATGCGAGCTGTTAGAAGAGAAATACATTATTACTTATGTTTTATTTTAATCATTTTAATCAATAATTAATATTTAACATATCAGATAATAATTTACAAATTAATTAAATAATTTATATTTTATTTTTCAATTTATAAATTTGATATATGATTGATCTATTGCTCCATAATAATTTAGGAAATTAAAATTCATAATTTAAATAATTTAATAATAATTTAATAATTTTGTTTATATATTTATATAATTATAATCACATATAATAATTTATGCATGGGTTAAATTCAATTTGCTGAATGCTATGCTTTACCACTATTTTGCTAAATATTTTTTGCTTCACTCAATGCTTGTCACTTGATAACTTCAGATTTATGGTTCCTATGATAATTCAGCTATAAAAATTTGCCAACTTTCAAATAAGTAATAAGCCACCACATCGCATTAAAACTTTATATTTATAAAAAATTTCTGTGATAGATACGAGATGGTTCCAACTGTACTGAGGAAAGTCGACGATGGCGGAGTCAAACGAATATGAGTAGGAATTTTCTGGAGAAAGCCACATTGAAGCAAGGAGCTAATACTTCACTTTTCTATTTAATCTAAAAATGAGTAATTTTTTAAAGCAAAATTTACATTTTGCAAATTTTTGAGGATCTACAACGATCTATAACTAATTATGCTTCGTTATTTCGGTTAAATATGCTCCATGCAATATTTTAAGGATTAATCTCAACCTTCGTCATATCGACGTTATTTCTATTTCATGGATGTAAAAATTATAATCATGGATATAAAAATCTTCTAAATGGCAGTTTAATCAGAACAAATCCAATTCTAATTCAATTTAAATGATTCGCGTCGCTAACGAAAACAGAAATGCTTATCTTCGTGATTTAATGATGGGCCGAGCAAGGAATTTCTACCGTATTTATTTAATCTGGTTTAAATTTAAATACCTAATTTAAACCTCCATTTATTAGGTTACAAAAAAGACAAAAGAATTTCGACAATACTTATTGCAAAATCCGACGTGGTTCGTTTGAAAGTCAGCTTAGCCAAGTAATGATTCTTAGCCTTTCCATTGCTTAATGGTACTTACATAGCTCAATATGCCAAATTTGTAGTGAAACAATGTAAAAATTTGTAGTGAAACAATGAATCGAATACTAATCATTCATTCCAGAAAAGATTAAGTTTGACAAACGGCTTTTTTTCTTCTACAGTATCTGGGATGTTTTTTCAATAACTAACTTCCCGGATTCATTTACTGAAGACGCTGAAGACGAAACAGTTGAGTTCGATTCGTATATTTTGGCGACTGACTGGCATACTCCGAAAGTTAACTGGTTATTCGAAGAGACAACTCAGCTCCTCAAGTTCTTTATTTTCCTATCATTTATAGCTTTTCAATTTGATTAGATCCGCTTCGATGAATGAAATGAAAAGGCGCCCGATAAAATTTCCTGCTACGTGCTCACGATGGCCCAGTGGTATACCGTCGCGACCATAGCCTAGCATCATGAATTCCATTCTAATCGCTTGACACGAATAAATGATAATAAATGATAACGAAATAATCACTATCATTATCATTATATTGCCTTTAACATCATAATACATAAAAGGGCCTGTGATTTGAATTAGAATAGCAAAACTATTCAGCGAGATGCTTTTATTAGATATTACTTTTAATTTTTTATATTTTTGGCTATTGTAAGTAGAAAGATCTTGTCGGTGAGAAGACAAATTTGGCTTTTGGCTTGATCTCTTTTCTTCTTCTCACAGCTCTCACCATTACTGGTTAGATTGGCTTCGCAAGGATATGGCCTTTCCAAATTGTTCGATCCGATGCCATCGCTGATAATTCCTTTCCTTTTTTTGCAAATTACCTAAAAAAATTCCAAATTTTTAAATAAATATTATTGTGTTAAAACATAAAAATCATAATAGCGAATAAAGACTATTCTCATAAAAATCGATCGACTTTGATTTAAAAAATTTGACCTTTGACATTAGAAAAATTATGATCGCCTTAAAATTTGTGCACAGATTGCGAACATGTAAATTTCGCTTTCGACGACAATCAAATAGATTAATCGTACATATAATATTGTTAAATGGCTACTTGACCTCTGACATTATAAAATGAGTGCTAATTCACAGATTTTAACTGATTCATTACATATAATGATTTTAAGGTATTTCAGTTTGCATTCGAGCAATTAAGAAGATTAAATTAAGCTTTCTTGTCGTTCGATTGACTTAGCGTTGAAACCGATACCAAAAATTTAGCTAACAAATCAGGAAGGTTCCCTTTTTTGAATAATTGGCCAGGGTCAAAGGTCGCACTAAGGCTCCAACTTTCCTTTTTCATTAGAGCCGACTAACTGCCTAATCACTCGATCGTTCAGACCAATAGTCATCACTCAAATCGTTATTCTTAGAAATACTTTATAAATTATTATTCAAAAATTTCCACTACTAAAAGTCAGCCATCGAAAAATTTTCGCGGGATTTGAGGCGAATCATAAAGATGAAGGTAATTTGCCTGTAAGTTCATTTCGTTTGAAAGGTAGGTGGGGAAGGAGGCGGGTGGGTTGAGGAAGAGAAGAATTAGGATTTTTGAAGAATTATCGCTAGAATTGGAGGATTTTTTTTCCAGATGGTGAATTCAACGAAAAGAAAAGGACAGAAGAGGAAAGCGAACTCTCCTTCCTCAAAACCTGTAAAGTCTCTTCGGCGTGATTTTTCTTCAAAATTCGGCAAGTTATTTTTAGTCTATCGAATTCTACAAAGGTCAAAGGTCAATAAATTCATTTTTACGGCTAAAATCGCTAAAAATCGCTGAGAATAATAGAGGAGAGGAATCCAAGGGATTTCGAAAAATTATAGAAGTTTCTGGTGAAAAGTTATTGGCGAATAAATATTGGTCAGTTCAAATTAGAGTTACTTAGCCAGTACTGCTCGCATTTTTGAAGAACACTTATTCGTGCTTGTGGGCAATAATAGAAGGGCGCTCAGAAAGAAGATTAACAAGGGACCCATTGGTCCTTAAATATTGCAAAAGTGGGTTTTGCCTCGATGAAATTAGTTTTTATAGATGAAATTTCGATAAAAGAAAAGAAAATTCAAAAGGTCAGCAACGATGATTTATCTATTGAACAACAAAATTTGAAGGAAAACGTCGCTAAAAGGGTGTTAAAAGCCGGTGAAGGGTCGTCTAAAATGCTCGGTGTGCACGTTAGTGCTGCAGGTTTGCTTGCTCGTATTTAGCCACTGAATTTCGCAATGGAAAATAGAATGAAAATCTTTAGACGCCTAAATCGGGTTTTAGGCTTAGGCTCATGATTTAGGGTCAAAGGTTGAGATTCAAGCATAAGTGCTGAAATTTAAAGGATTTTGTGCATGTTTGATGCAAACGATCTAGGATTTTTGGTTAGAAAACTTGAGCTGCTTTTATTAGATCAAATTTAGGTTGAAATATCTTTTTCTATCTTGTATAAATGGTTTTTAAAATTTTCAAGGTGGTCTTGAACAGTCCATTTTTAACGCGATTTCAATTGGATGCCGTTCATTTGCACTTTTTGTACGAAATCAGCGAACATGGAATTGTCCACCTCTTTCCGATGCTACGGTTCAGCGTTTTAAAAATGCTCTACAAGTGAATATATATTCAATACATATATTTTTCTTAATAGAGAAGAATGATCCAAAATAAGCTAATGCAGTTGCATTTTAGAAATACGAATATCCGGTCGATCAGATACTGCCACATGCCTCGTATCTTATCAATCCTGGTTCGAGTGATCCGACAAAACTTGAAAAATCTCGGAGTGGTATGCTTGATGAATGTGAACGGTGCGAAAAACTTGGTATTCAGTTGTATAATTTCCATCCAGGTTTGTCATCTAGGATAGCTTTTATTTTAAACTTATTATTTTAGGTTCTGTTTAATAATAAGTGAAAAATTCCCCATATTCAGTTATGTTGTAGCTAATCATAGGAGTTTAGGTTCTGCTGTCGAGGCTAATTCACGAAAAGAATGCATTCGAACGATCGCTGCGACTATTAATTATATTATTCAACGTACAAAATCGATTATCCTTGGTTAATAGTTTTAGAAAAATTTGCTTACAAAATATATATATCTATATATAAAAATTTATAAGACCATTTAGGAGCTAAAAACAGGAAGTTTTGTAAAAAATAGCCTTGGCATTATCGTATTATTCCTACAATTTAGGGTTTAATAATTTAACTTTTTTCTCGCTTAGACTTTACGCTCTTCGCTGGCTTGTTGAGCCAGACAAATTTAGCTAGCTAAGTAATAGATAGCAATATATCAGTATGGTGAATCAATAGCATCACCAGGATTTTTGAAAGGCAGATTTGTTCCTGCCATAAGGACTTTATCCTAATCTTCATTCCGTTTATTTGATTATCCGTAATTAATTTCAAGCTAACTGGGTTGTTTTTTCATGATCTGCTCGGTGTATAAGTACTTTCATATATTTTTATATTTTAGTTATTGAAACAATGGCTGGTCAAGGGAATACTATTGGTGGGACTTTTGAAGAGTTACATGAAATCATTGACCTAGTCTCTGACAAAAACCGTGTTGGTGTTTGCATTGATACTTGCCATATTTTCGCAGCAGGTTATCGCTTTTTTCTTTTATAGATTGTTTTTTCAATTTTTTTGCATGAAAAATCGAAATTTTCATCGCCATCTTTGTTTTACACAACGCAGAATTATTTATGCAGTTATATAGGGTTTGTGGCATAATTTTATTTTTGCGATTGTGTTATAATTATAATTTAGTTTTATAAAAGTAATGCTCTTACTTCATAATCTTTGCACAAAACTTCGTGCCGTTTGCATAAAATCTCGTAATTTTCAACATAATAGATCGAAGCGCCAGAAAAAATTCAGAAGCATTTTGGGACTTCTTCATTTGTTTTGCAATATATGTAAGGACACTTGTAACAATCATGTGAAGAAGAATATGAAAATTTAAATAAATTTAAATAAAAAATCCGTTATATTTTGATATATATATGGTGCTGTTTCTGGAAAATCTCTATGAAATTATAAGCAACACTTTTTAAAAACACCAGCTTGCTAAGCCAGTTACCTCTAAAAATTTGCAAAATTGTTTCTCTCTGTAATAATAATTGTTTCTCTAATTTTGCGTCAGCTCAACGAAGTCCAACGTAAAATCCCTCTGAAACATACTATATGATTACTAGAGCAAGTTCAGAAACAAGGTAAGATAAGGCCATTGGATAACATACAGCTACTGCGATGAAAAATGGAAAAATCATGCCGATAAAATAGTGGTTCTCAATTTATGGGAATCCTAAAGACAGAATGAGTCAGAGCATCGCCGCCTATATCGGTAAGACGATTGTTCCATTAGGTTTGAAGGGGTTATGATTTGACTTGCGATAATGAATGTATTTAAGTATTTAATGCAGTATTATTCTTTTTTTGCAACTTTTTCTTATATGTGGTTTATATACTTGAAAGCAAATGAGAAATTCTCAAGCATTCCTTGAAATCATTTCTGGCCTTTCTGTTTATTTTTATATTACGAAGTTATGTCAAATGTTTCTGCAATTTTTCATTTCAAAAGTTTTGATAAATTTTTAAAAATTTTATATTTTCTTTTCGTATTTAGCTACCATCCATTATATTTTCTAGGTTACGATATTCGTACTAAGGAAGCATATGAAAAAACAATGAGCGAGTTCGAAAAAATCATTGGTTTCAAGTACCTTCGAGGTGTTCATCTAAATGATTCTCGAGGTTCCCCTTAAGACCTTTATTCAACTGGCTTCTCCAGTTTCATTATTACCTTTTATATCAAAAAACTGGTCAATTTATGGGTCAAATGATCAAATGATTTATGGTCAAATGATTTATTCGTTTCGGTGTTTTCTTTTTGGTTTATTTAAATATCTTGCTTCCTCCTTTTGCATATCCCCGTTTATCCTCCTTTAAGATTTAATTTGAATATAGGAAAATTAGGAACTTATTAAAATTTTTTAGGTATATTAGGTTCGAAATTAGATAGACATGAAAATATTGGTAAAGGCAAGTTGACGATCAAAGCCTTTCGATTCTTCATGGAAGATCCACGTTTTGACGGAATACCACTTGTTCTAGAAACTCCTGAATGTGACTATGCTGAAGAAATGATACGCCTATACAATTCAGTTTCTGTAAAATAATCATTCATTTATTTATTTTTTTAATGTAAATCATGATTTATCTTATGAGTATTGTTAATGTGAAGACGATCTCCAAAATAAAATTGATTAATCGTGCTAAGATAATCGCACTTACCGAATGCAAGATGGATTTTATTTTTTTATTTTTATATATTATTCATTTTTTATATAAAATATAATATAATAAAATATAACAGTAATAGTAATAAAGCAATGTATGAATGTAATAAAGCAGAGATGGAGATGTTCAGATCAAAAACAACCCATCACCATTATTGTGCTTTATGCAGCATTGGAGTTGGGACCACGTTTTCTGCCTGGACCACTAACAGCAACATTAACGAATCGCCGATTATACTGAATGCGTCTTGAAGCACGTCCTAAAAGTCGAATTACGAGAAATAAGCAAAACTGTAAAATTTATTTCCATCAAAGCTGTATTTCAAATTTTAAAAATTTTGCTATGAATGTACGAAATAAGATAACTGAAGAGAAAATTTTATTCTGTTTATTTAATAAATTTCTTTCATCATGAGGTAAATATAAGTAATTAGAAAGCTAAATTATAGGAAATCAATAGAACGAGTTCTCACCGGTCTTCTTTTTTTTCTTTTCCTGTTTCTCGACTTTAGGGGTTTGAGCTCGAACCTTCCCAGCTCGAGCAAGAGAACCGTGCACCTTACCTTAAAATTGAAATTTATTCAATTAAAGATTATAAAAACAAAAAGACCACCGAACATAGTTAGCCGATACGATAAAAATTACCTCCAAGAAGTCGTGCATTTAAATTAAAAGTGACTCCAGGATGAAGATCAAGTTCGTGCAAAACGGTTTCATTCTCCAATATTTTACTTCCATAAGACAATATTTCATCGGATACACCAAGCTGTGCCTACAGTAAATATTCTATAAACTATTGATTTATTTATATTATAAATTTGGTGGGACAGAATGGCTCAGTGGATTATTGCTCGATTGGGAGATGCTGAGATTCGATTTCCCGCAGGATTCCCAGTACAAAAATTCCAGTGATGTTGGCGATTCACTTGTATTTCTATCGCTCCCTGGCCTATCGCTCAATGTGACAAACCAATGGAGCGAGTTTAACCAGTAATGGTGAGACTCTCTTTATTATAAATTTGTCTAGAAATTAAAAAGCAAATTTTTAAATCGATTCCTTAAAATTCTAAAAACTCTAAATTCTAAAAACTCTAAATAAATCGAAAATCCGGAAAAAATATACATTTGAAAAATATACACTTTTTCCTGGTATATCATGGAAAGCACAATAATTTAAAAAACAGAAATTTCAGGAAAAGTTGAAGATGAAGAATTTTAAGCTTACTTTTAGATCGGCAACTGTAGTCGTTTGGCTAATATCGACCGCATGAAGTTCTCCATCGATGCTTGATATGAAAATCTGCATGTTTAGCAAGCGTCCTAACCGGAACAGTGAAATACTAAAACTAAAATTCCAACTGAAAATAGCATATTAAGAAATACAGTAGAAAAAAGAATCTCTTCAAGATAAGGATTTTAAATCATCGAAATTTTGCAGCACACATCCACTTATACTCCTTAACCATTATATGCTAGGCAATCAGCAACATTGGAATTAGAAAGCAAAAGATTACGAAAAGTCCGAGCATTCGTCGATGAGACAATCTAAATGTCGCCAATCCAATTGGAAATTTTCAGCGTCACGAGTCATTGCTGATTTGCGTGGCTTCATTGAAGAATTAGACAGGCGGACCACGATTTCACCTTTGGTTTACTCCAGACAAACCATGGGAATCGAACCTGATGCCTTTTGCTTTCAGTCAAAACAACTTGAACTTGATATTATTCATTCATTCAGTCTGACCTGCTGCAAGGGAATCTGCCATTAAAAATTCCGAATGGCACTAGGAAAACCCATCAGTGCTTCTATTTCCATCGGGTAAAACAAAACTGTCTCATTTTGCTAATTGCCAAGGTTAACCAAAAACACTGAGAACTAACTGATTATTTATTGACGCACATGAAATTAAACAGCAAATAAAATAAATCAAACGAAAAATATCGTTGATTGCTCATTTCGAAGCATCGACATTCGGCTAGCGCATCCACTCTCAGCACAAGTAAACCGAGCGATGCTGGCTCATCTGTCGCCAAATGATTCCCTGGCAAAATCTCTTTGGTCCGACAAGCTAACAGAGATCGATTAACCAACAATGCTGAGCATTCTTAAAATGTAACGAAGAAATGTAACAATCGAACGGCTGAATGCCACAAACTTGAAATAGGTCAAATAAGTTCATTCAAATTTAAGGTTGGAGTCAACACTTATATAATTTTAATTTGTTGCTTTCGTCACTAATCCACACTGAAAACTTTATTAAAATACATCAACTAATTATAGCAACATGCAAACAAACAACGAACACATGGAATATCGAAAATCAGGCTAAAATCTTTATTGCCCGTGATCGGGTGGGAGAATCGAGAACGGTAGCTCGCTTGAGGTTAGGGCATATGGGTTGCCATTAAGAGTAAAACCCTGGCGGCGGTTCGAAATCCATGTGTACCTGCATTTCCACTTTTCTGGCGGAAGGTTTCCAAGCGGTGAAAAAATAAGCAAACCTAGGAGCGTCCTAAACGGCTATTAATGGGAAATCAACGAATCAGTTAAGGACGGGCGGACTACCATTCAGATTATTTAATGCCAATTTTATTCTTATTAGAGGTCCGAGCCTCGATCCTAGCAATAACGATGAAGCTAGCAATGATCGCCAACCGCTTAGATTATGAAACAATTAACAATTAACGATATAGAATCTTTCTTGTGTAAAAGGCCAAATCCAAATTTGCTTTCATTTTCAACTGACAAGCCAAGTGAAATTTTTTTCTTAAATTTAATTTTTAATTCTTTTTATTTCTTTACTTTTTTACTTTATCCTCGTCTTCGACAAGAGGAAACCTGCCACATCAAAAATCCGAGTGGCCGCAGCGAACCCACCCGTAAGTCCACCCTCAACCCTCACCTCTATGATGAAAGACCTGAGGTGGGCGGACCGCACTACCCGTCCTTAGGAAGAGATTGTTCCTAATCTCGCTATTCGATCGAGCATTACTAACAATCGGCTTAAAATTCGATTCTCGTTTTAATAAGAATTTCAAATTGTTCTGGCGGTGCGAAGTGATTTTATCCAGTTTCATTTCATTTATTTCTCTTAAATTATTTTTTATCACTTTTATCACATTTATCACTTTTAAAGGTGAGATTTTTTTCTTTATCAGTCTGATAACGAATTGATAACAAATGGAAACTCTTAATTTATCGTATTTTCTTTCGGCTTTTTTTTCTTAAATAAAATTGTGATTATAAATTTGAAAAAATCAATTTAATCATGCAAATTAATTAATTAAATTTATTAATTGTTCATAAATCAACAATTAGTATTTATGCTATTTTCACACGTAAACACGTCTTATTTTTTCCGTGTAAATAATTATAATAATGATTATTATTTTGATTCATTATATTTATATTTTTATATTATATTTTTAAAGTATTTATTAAATAAAATTTTATTTTATACTGCGAATGGTATCTTCGAATTTGTTGAAAGCAAAAAATTTCTGTGAGGGGTCGACAGCGAGAAATGTGGAATTGTTTGAAGAGACGGATTCCCTTGTTATGGCTGTTTGAGAGCGAACGCCAAGGATTTCTCTACGAATCTCTTAAAGGGTTCTTCAAGAGACTTTCGAAATCTATGGACTTCGCTGAAAAGAAGAAAAAATGCATTTTTGCATTTTCTTTCCTATAATTTTACATCCCCCAGGTTATTTTCCAGGTTTTTGTGGATTTTTTCTTTTAAAATGGACAATAGGCTTCATGAACTTCGACATTATCTCGCAAATTATACTCCTCGAATTGATGCTTATTATCTTCCAAGAACCGATGCTCATCAAGTATTTTCATTTCTTTTGCTTAATAAATTTATAAAAAGTGGTCGTTCTGCCGTACCATTGTACCATTCGTATCTATCTTTTGTCATGTAATTATTCACCACAAACATTTTGGAATGTTTCGGTTTAGAGTTCAAGGAATTTTTGTCCTCGTTGCTATATAGCTGAATCAAAGAGCAATAAATTTTATAAAAAATGTCAAAAAACTTCTATCATAAAATTTTAGCATAATCTATACATTTTAGAATAAATATATACGTGAGCGAGACAATTATGTCAAGTTCTTTTCTGGATTTTCCGGGTCTGAAGCAGAAATATTAGTAACAAAAGACGAAGCGATATTATGGACCGATGGTCGATACTTTATACAGGTGTTTCTCGAATTCATTGCTTAAACTGGCAGCTAATATAGTGCATATTTTATTTACGTTGTTGTTTGTTATTTTTTCTTATTTAACGATCTTTTAAGGCTGAACTGGAACTATACGATGATTGGGATTTGATGAAAAAAGGATTATGTGAAATGTCACCTATAGATTGGTTGATTTCCATCATGCCTGATCGTTCTCACATTGCTTTCGATTCTATATTAATGACTTGTGGTGAAAAAATTCATTGTTTTATTTAATTTATTTATTTAATATTAAATATTTTTAATATTTAATATTTATTTAATATTATTTAATTTATTTATTCTTTAATTTATTTATTTTTTATTAAATTTATTTAATTCTATTTTATAATATTCCTAGTTTTTAAAAATTTTCTTCTTTATTAGAAACTAATTGGATTTTAATTTAATTGGCAAAAAGCGAAGAAATGATCATAATCAAGAAAATTTTTCTTTTTTCATTACTATTTAATATTGCTAATATTCAGAGGATGCTTTAAAATTTATCGATATTCTCACTAAAGCTGGTTTTCATGTCACAGCTCTACGAAAGGATTTTTTTGCAGAAATTTGGCTGGATCGACCGCTTGAGCCAACTCATCCGGTTATATTTTGTTTAAAACCAGAAATAATATTTCATTTTTTCGATGTATGGGTTTATGAAAGAATTTATGAATTGAATGAATTTTTTACTTGTTCAGCCCAATTTACTCGTAGATTTATTTTATTTATTTTTTTTGAAATTGCAATAGTTTTTAGATTTCTTTGTTGCATATTTCTGATCACGGATTGGACTCAAGTTCTAAAATTTCAACTGTTTACTCTATATTAGGGAAGAAAAAGTGTTCGTCAGCGATTTTTACAAGTCTTGAGGAAATTGCATGTAAGCTTTTATATCTGTTAGGAAATTAATGAAACTGCAATTCAAATAAAACTGCCGCTATTGCTTTCGCAATTTTATAGAAATTTTTACGAACTTCCTACTTAATGTTTGCGCAAAAGAGATTGGAAAAGAATTTTATATAAAAAATTTCCAGGGTTATTAAATATTCGAGGTGCAGATATACCGTTTACTCCTGTAGTATTTTCAATTGTCATATTGGCTCACAACGGTGCACATTTATTTATTGATCTTAGGAAATTGGATGAGGGAACTCGTAGATACCTAGAAAAATATGTAACAATCCATGAATATGATGAAGCTATTGAATGGATAATTGACTGGAATACAAGAACAAGTCGACTCAATTTACATAAGGTAATACTAGTTGTTCAAGGTTTATTATTGTAAATTATTGTCGCTTTAGATTAGGTGGGATTTTTTAAGAGTCAAATGCATTTGGCTTTTGGTGATTACATATTATAGTTGTATTTTTATCAAGAAGTGGTTGCCTGGTAAAAGTCGAGATATAGTGATCAAAAGAAACCAAGCTAGAAATGGTGAGTGCTATCAAGAAATGAAAGTTATTAATAACTGAAGTGAATTTTTTTTTACAGGTTTTTCTTCCATCAAATATTAATTATCTATTGGCTTCAATTATTGGACCTGAAAATTCGATTATTGACCAATCTCCGATCCAAAAACTTAAGGCAGTCAAAAATGAGACTGAATTGGAAGGAATGCGGCATGCAAATGTAAAATTAACTATTTCAAATTTTCTAAAATAATTTTAGTAGCCTGAAAGATGAAAAAATCTGTTTTTTTCTCCAAACATGAATTTTTTAGTCTCGTGACAGTCGAGTTGTCATTGAATTTTTACATGGCATTAGCACTGCGATCGGAAAACCAAATGGCGACAAAATCACTGAGGTTTTTTTTGCATTTTCTGTTTTCATCGAAAAATTTTATTTTCATTATTAGTTTTTTCCTTGCAAATTATGTAAAAAATATAAAGAATTAAATCTTTATATCTTTATTTATTATTTTTTAATACGGATATACGGATATTTAATACGGATATTTAAGTTATCGATGATTGAATACATTGATAATTTACGGTCGAAAGCATTTTCTTTTCTTGGTCTTAGTTTCGCTACTATTGCGGCTGTTGATGACCATGCTGCTTTACCTCATTATCACGCAAGTGCGAAAACTGGAAAACGTGAAGTAACTAAGGACAGTATTTGTTTAGTTGATTCTGGTGGTCATTATATGTAGGTTTTTTTTCTTTATTTTTATGGCAGATTATTTTATTTTAAAAAATTATAAGTTGTTTTTCTGCAATACATATTTGGCTTTATGAATTTTTTCAGTGATGGTACTACTGATGTCACTCGTACTTTCACCTTTTCTGACAGAGTCGATGATGAATTCAAGCATATGTTCACATTAGTGTTAAAGGGTCATATTGCTGCAGCTTCACTTGTGTTTCCTAAGTTTACGAATGGTTTAGTTTAAAATATTCTTATGTTGATTCATTTTTTTGCAGTGTTGTGACGAAATTAATTAATTAATTAAATGTTACTTAACATTAATTCTTTAATCAAATTTTCTTGATGCTAATTGGTTAAACCCTATATTTAAGAATTTTATCTTCAGGTATGCGTATTGATATGATAGCGCGTCAGTATCTATGGGCAGAAGGTTATGATTTTATACATGGTGTTGGACATGGTGTTGGCCATGCATTAAACGTTCACGAAGGGCCGGGTCAGTAATTTAGTTTAAATTTTTATTAAAATTATTTTTTACTGAAAAAGCACGATTTAGAATTTCATTTTTTTTTGAATTTATTTGATGATAATGGATTTGGGATCATCAGCTCTAAAGTGGGATTTTAAAAATTTTTTTATAATGTGCCTATTGCCTTATAAAATTAACCATGTCTAATATTTCTGGTTTCATTGAATCCTTGACTATTAAGGTGGAATTTTTCACCATAGGGCGCTCGTAGATAGAAATGTTAGTGTGACATCCTTTTATTCTTTAATTTAACTCAATATCTTTAATTTGGCTTAATTTGACTTAACTTTATAGTGCAAATTTCGTATCGAAATTATAATCCATGTGGTGCAATAGAGAAAGGAATGGTATTGACAATTGAACCAGGTTTTTATTTGGAAGACGAATGGGGGATCCGCATAGAAAATTGTTATGAAGTATTTTTTACTTCTATTGCCATTTTTCGAATTGTTGTCCATTAATATTTGTTTTTTTGAATATTCATTATGAAATTTTTACTAGAAAATTGGTTCTTTTAGGTAGTTAGTGCCGAAAATCTTCGTTCCGGTTCTAACGATTATGTGGCCTTCCGACCTTTGACTCTAGTGCCGATACAAACTTCTTTAATAAAGAAGGATCTTTTAACCACTTCTGAGGTTAGCTCAATTTGAAGAAACTAATCGTTTTTGATTTTTTTCTCATATTAATTATTTTAGAGTTTCAGTGCCCGCATATTGATTGATTTATGTTAAAAGTTTACATATTGATATTTACTATTATTATTTGATTTATTAATAAAAAAATTACAAATTGCATGAAAATGCAATGTGCATTTAAAATTATTATATTGTTGCACCTTAGCAGGGTTTTTTATCACAGAAATAATGCATAAAATTTTTAGATTACATGGATCAATGAATATCATCAAAAATGTTTACATGAGCATTCTTATCACTTCAAAGCTGAGAACAAATTGGATATTTTACAGTGGTTGGAAAATGCGTGCAAACCTATATGAAATAATATAAAATTTTTTCAATCAGCTTCATTTTTTCTTCAAATTTCTTTATAATTTATTGATAGTATTTAATCTATTCAGTTCTTTCTTTCTTTTATTGAATTATCTGCTGGAAGGTGATGCATCGATTTATGTTGTCTTTCGAAGTTTCCTTTTTTTTTAATTTGTTTTACGACTTTTATTATTTTGCTTCTGGTGATAAATAAATGATATTTTTTCGTAAAATTTGCCAAAATTTTTTTCGAATTCGTCGAAATGTTTATTCATTATTGTTTCTTCAGAAGTGAAATGTCGAATAATCTTCTTATGATAATCATTTATCATTTCGTAAGATAAGAACTGATAAAGTATCTTAAGGTATCTTAAGGTATTTTCATGGATGAATTGTTGACGATTGCTTCTAAATACTCATTCCCTCATAAATGTTTAATGCAAGTACTTCTCGCTCAATATGTTCTCGATGTAAGTTTTATTGTCCATTTTAAATTTATGTTTAACTCACTTTTGAAAGTATCATAGGCTTTTAGATTTTTATTTATTCTTTTTACTATTGGCTATTTTGTTAAATTTTGGATCTCTTCTAATTATATTGTTTATTTTCATTAAATTTTTTCAAATTTTTTTATTTTTATTGGTTTTCTATTTATTTTATAAGATCCATTAGTTAGTTATTTGTACCAGAATAAGATCGAAACGTCAGTTCTTGAGTTTTTCTTGAGTTACATTGTTATTTATTATTTTCGATTTTCAGAGCGACGAATTTATTAAGAATTTTATCCAGTTAACCAAAAATTTAAGCGGTGAATGTTTCATTTATGTGGTGATTTTTGTCTGATTTGCAAAATTTCTTGAATTTCCTTCATCCATTTATTCTAATTTTTATAGTTCAAATATTTTAGGATCACAAGAATCTTATGAATCTTTTGTCGATAAACAACCTTTGTTGGATGCACTGATCAGATGCATGAATCAGGAGCTTTCAACTATCGCTTTGAAAATCATCCATCTATTTGATGAATATAGTGATGTGGAATATTTGGTTTTGGTATGTTTGCATTCTTTATATTGAATTCATTTGATCTTCTGTCTCTGACGAACTTTTTAAGAGAATAGGAGGTAAACTGTTAAAAGTGAAAATCTTGCAGGTTAGCGTAAAGGATTGCACTGAATCGTTAAAATCGGCTTCTCCTTTATCTGTTTATGAATTAGCTATTTTCCGAAGTTTATTGGATAAAATTTGTTCGAATAACAAAAAAGAGATCTCATTAGATGATGCTAAATCCGCTTGTGATTTTTGTTCTGTTAGTTTTTTCATCTATTATTTTCTTCAAAAATTGTTTCTTGAAAAAAATTATAAAAATTGTGAAAAATACTAACAAAAAAAAATTGATTAATTTCCTTGATTCAATATGGCGATGTTCTAAATTTTCAAACATTAATCTAAAAAGTTTTAAATAATCTCTTTATGCAAAAATAAAAAGGATAATCGAGCCGTTATGAATCGGCTGACTAGAATTAACGCAAAAGTTTTACTTTTAGTTACATTTCTTATTGATTTGGTTAACCTATAAATTTTAGAATGTAATCAGTTATAATTGGCATTTTGTAATTCTGTGGTGTAATAAATAGTGTAAATTTAAATATACTATAAAAAAAAATTTTAAGAAATTTTATTTGAATTAAATCCAAAAAGTCTTTTGATTTCTTTTGAAATTGATTTTTTTTATGTATTTTTTTAATGTTCATTTACAGAGTCAAAAGAAGATCAGTATCGATGATTTGTTGAACCGGCTTATATCAATGAAATGGCTAATATTTGTAAGCTAAATTTTTTTTCGATTAATATTGGTTTAAATGTTTTATAAATCCGATTCGTTTAAACTGTTTATAATTAAATAATTATAAATAATTTAAAATAATTAAAATTTAGATAATTGATAATAAATAAATAAATAATTTAAGTAAATAATTTATAAATAATTTTCAATAATTAAAATAAATAAATAATAAATAATAATTAAGTAGAAAAATTATACAGTCTCATAAAACTACTTTTTTTAGACTATTAATATATCGAATAAGACGATTAAATAATTTGAATAAGACGATTAAAAAATAATTTAAATAAATATAAATAATTTAAAAATAAATAATTATAGATAAATAAATACTAATAATTATAAATAATTATAATTATTGATAACCAATAATTATTAATTATGGTATAAATAATTTTATTTTGCTTCCCATGTTTCTTTGGTTTTTTTAGGAGAGAAATTATTAATTAGAATTATAATATAGGAATGTAAAATATTATTAAGAAACTTGAAGAAAACTTTCAAACGCATTCTTGTAGAATAAACGCATTCTTCATTCTTCTAGTAATATTCAGAATGAAAATACTTCGACTATTCGATTAGGAATTCGGAGTATCGCTGCCTTGTACGATTATTTTGCTGCAAATTCAGAGGATTTTCACTTGGAAAAGTGCAAACTTTGCTATAAATTTATTTTTTTTAAACAGCATTCTATAAACTGCACTAACTGTGCTACATTTTTGCATAAATATTGTGCCAAAAAGTTAGTTTTTCATTTTTTTTTGGTTGAATGCAACACAGTAATATTTTTTAATTATATTTATTTAGTTTTTTTCTCTATTATAAATAGATTATAGATGTTTTTTGGCAGTCAACTTCAAATATTTAAATCTTCATCTAATTTGATTAATAAGAATGGTTTTTGTTTCATTAATGATGAATGGATATTGAATGGATAATGGATATAATGGATATTCGACTGTCTTAAAATTTCTAAATTTTTTTATCAGATTTATAATCGTTTATAGTTTCTACAAATTAATAGTAATTAATAGTCTTATTCGATATATTAATAACCTAAAAAATAGTTTTTTTATGAGACTGTATAATTTTTCTACTTGCAGGTTACTGAAGTCAATGTCGAATATGTCGAATAAATTACTTTGTCCTGGGAGATTAAAAGATGGAAGTATTTGTCCAAATCATTTAGAAATCATTTGTAATTTGGATCAAGATTCAATATAAATTTTGATTAGGTCTTTTATTTTTTATCTATCAATTTAATTTTCTTAACGGCCGACTTTATCTGTTTTAGAACAAATAGAATTTTTTTTCAAAAAATTCATGGTTTTTTTAATTCTTCTGCGAAAAACTCACGGTTTAAGAATAAGAGTAAAATATTCACGAAAGATTTGAGAGTAAAATAAAACTCGATAAAGTTGCTCTTGATAATTGCAATAATCCAGAATTAACTATACTTGATTATATCCAAAATTAAAAGCGGAGAAAATTATGGATCATGAAAATTTCATTTTATTTAACTTCGCTCAAAGTGTTTGAAATATTTGAATATTTGAAATGTCATGAAATTTTTTGTTTTCCTCCACACTTTAATGGCAATCTAATTTCAAAAAATCAAACGATTGTTAAAATTAAGCCACAAGATACTAAATATTGTTGGAAAAAGGAGACGAAAAAAGATAAATGTAGAAAAAGATTAGGAGAAAGAAATGCAAGTTTTCAGGAATATATCATGGTATTTTGCATTTGCAAATGATTCTTATATCCGTGGCTTTTGTGGCTCTCTCTTTTTCTAAAAATAAGCATAATTTGGCTGAGCTGATTCCATTTTATACCAAGACGAGATCCTTGTTTCAGGAAATCACTTGGCTAAAGAAGTTTTGATTTTATTTTAAGTTTTTATGATAGGATTATTCATATTATGAGGCCGGTATCGAGCTCATGCTAGCTGGGGTTTAGTAATGTGAAATTTTGATATTTTTTCTATGTAATGCTAAAAATTTTCGTTGTATTTCTCCCGTATTTTAAATCGTTTTAAATCGTTACATTTTTATATTTTTCATCATTTTATAAAGTTTTCAGAAGTCAGGAAATTTTCCAATATTTTTTTTTGCCATTTATTTTGAATCATTTAAATAAATAAAAGTTTTTAAATGAAATTTAAATTCATTTTTTTACTGTAGCTAAAGCATATAGATTATTTTATTATTTTATTTTATTTTTTTATTTTTTTTTGATTTTGCTTTAAAATTTTTCTTTCTTTTTCTTCTTAATAGCTCATAACATTACTGGTTTGGCTTCGACTATAACGGTTTCAAGTAGCAGAAACCATTGCCAACTGCCTAAACATTATTTTCCCATTTATTTTTTGTAATATTTTTTAAAATTTTGCTTTAAAAAATGTTAAATGTTAATTATTGCATATAATTTATAAACTTAGTAAAATTAATTTTTTTCACAGCTTCTATTTATACTAAAAGTGTTATTCACATTTATTTTTTCATGATTTTTGATGAAAGCTTTTGTAAATTTTTTATCAAAAGTTTTGTAAATTTAAATAGCAATTAGTCTTTAATATTGTAATTTTGTCTTCGCCTAGGTTTCTTAATGTATTAGATTTAAAACAAGTTTTTTCGCAAATGCACTATTTTATCTTCGTAGTTTCGTTTTCCATCCGAATATTTTTTAGAATCTCGCGGTTTTTTTATCTATGAATTATAGTTTCCTGCCATCTGGTACTTTTATTAAGAATTTTTGTTGCCAGCGACTTAAATGAATTCGCAAATTGATAATTCTGACGTCGATCTCGAAACGGTTAGTTGCTTTCACGGTAATTTAAACTGTCTTTTCGACTTTCTTTTTAATTGAAAATTTTAGTTTTATTAATATTTTTTTGTTTCTCATTCTATTATGATCATTTTTTACATTTTTGAAACATAATCGTTTTCTTTGGGATATCGCTAATTCATAAATGACAAAGTGAAGTGCTTAGCAAAGTAACTTTTAGGTGGCAGGCAATGTTGCTGATTCTTTGACGCGAATTTTTCTTCTAACACCTCGACCTGAGGTTCGGCTAAAAGCTTATTCATTATTGGGCGTCACTAATAGCAGGGATTTCGCACTTGAAGTCGAACGTCGTATTAATAATTTTTTAAAAATCTCCAGCAAAGGACATGATCGTCGGTAAGTACACCTCGGCTATCAAATTATTGGTTTAGAATAGTTCAGTTTAATTTCTCTTTTTTTCGCAACCTTTAAAAGGTCGGTGGATTTTATCTGCTTTATTGAAGATCAATGTTGCAAAAACGTTTTGAGAGTGATGCCGCAAGAAATCATTTATTTTCTGAGATTAAAAAATCTTTCAGTAAAATGGTAGATTTTAATTTTATTAATTTTTTCAATGCTTTAATATTTTTAATTTTTTTGTTTTTTTTGTTCATTATTTTTTTTATCTTTCTTCGTTTATTATGTGTATTTACACTTTACACTTATATTATATTTTAGTTTTATATCTAATCTTATACAATCTTAATTTTATCTCGATTAAATTATTTGCATAAAATGTGTTTCCACAGTTTTTTAAAAATTAATATCATGAAATTATTAAATTTCAAGGATTTTTATAGGATCTTGATACGCAAAATGTTGTCGGAGTACTTTTTGGATCATTTGGTGAAAGTAACAAGTTTATAGGCAGTTCAGAAGCAAATATGAATGGATGTAATAAGGTGAATTTTTCGATTTTTAATCATTTTTTTTCATTCATTGTAAATTCAAAAAAATATGATTAGAGTTCTTTTCTTTTCTTTTTTTAAGAATCCTCACCATTGTGGTTAAACTAGCTCCGCTGGACAAATATGCCAGGGAGTCCCTTGGCGATAGATACAGGTAAGTCGCCAACAATATCACCCAGATTTTCATAGATTTACTCCTGCGGGGAATCGGACTTCAGTACTCTCCGAATCGAGCAACAAACCACCAAGCCACCCTATGATTAGTGCTATCAATCACTGTTTAATAATTAATATGCTAGTGAAATCGCCATTTGAAAAGTTGACAATTGTATTTAATGGTTATGCCGCTTAATTTTTTAAAAATTTGGAAGAAAAATTGTTCTTTTCTCCTAGTTTTTATCCTAAATATTTAGAATTCATTTCTCATAGAATTTTTTTTTCAGATATATTTTATTTTTATTTTGTTTCTTGCTTATTATTATTTTTTAAGGATTTTAATCTAACCTCAGCGCAGCAGATGATTTCTTATGAATTCTCATCATCCGATTTGGACGATTTCTCAACCGGTTCATTCAGTGAGCCGGTTCGTAATTTTTGTTTACTTTAAAATGGTTTTTTATAAATATTCATCTCAGAGTTTTATGAACGCCGTTTAAAATTATCATTTTCATTGAATTTTTTTTTGCAGGCTTTCTCAGATTGGTCATCCGATTGGTCCCTTTCCTCATATCCCACTAAAAGTTTGTTTTTATTTATATTTGTTATATATGCGCTTTTTTTCCATACAGTGTCTTCTCAAATAGGATGAGAAAGAAGTTGCGACAGTAATCTTCAAATTTTTGAAAGGATATTATTTTGTAGGAAAAGGCGCAAAATCGCGAAAAAAGTGTGAGAATATAAGTGGAATATGTAAAGAATACGATTCTTTTTCAAATTCAGATGGCAAAGTACCAGCGCAAGTAAATTTTACTCTTTTTTTTCAATTTCTTATTGATATTTTTCAGCTTTTTTCTCCCTTTATTTCAAGTTAATATCTTCTTCATTGAACCATAGACAAGTGGCAAAGGAAATTGCTGTTTCTGAATCCATTTTTATTGCCCCATTGTTGCCTTCCGGCGTTTCGCGGTAGCGATCTCTGATAAATTTACGTTTGAAAAATTTTTATCAAATTCCAATTATTCAAATTTCAAATTTAAATTTGCTCAATAATTTAACCAATTATTAATTAAACTAATATGACTAAATATTCATGTGTTGAATTAAAAATAATAAAATTAAAATCGATAGGAGAAATCTAGCAAAACAATATGAATTCATTATTAGTAAATTGTAATTAATTTAATAAGCAAAGAATTACAAAAAAATAGATCATTATTTTTTTATTTATCGCCACATTTCATTTTTCATTAAATTATTCCCAAAAGCATTTAATATTTAGTATCGCAACTGAATGAGTCTTCGATCCTAATTCTGTCGATGAATAACCAAATCTTTTACAAATTCGGTCGGTCTATTCTAGTTGCATTAGGAAATTTTTTAGATATTAGGAAAATATACGCTAGCAGGTCGTAAATATTTCTTTGACTTATATTTAAATATTACTATGATTTAGATAAATCAAATTAAATATTAAATGATTAAATATTAAAATTAAATTAAATAAAAACATAAACTTTTGTCAAATTTAAATTTCAAAGATTTTTTAGGATATGTTAGTGGATAATGAATATATCCAATCGAAAGAATACGTAGTTTCGAATCAATCAGAATCGCTTATGGAGGAATTTTCTCAAGATGAAGAAATTGATGGTTAGCGAGAGATAATTGCTTGAAGTTCCTAAGATTTTTCTATCATTTATTTTTCTTTTTAGTTAAATATTTTTCGCTCAAAAATAGTTATATGGATGGTAGAATGATACAAGTTTACTCATTTTTTGATGATGATTTATTTCACACTTTTAAATATTAATCCTCGTGAAGATTTTGTTTCATTTTTGTGATATTTCAATAGTAATTTTTAAGCTATATTGTGGTACTTCCAATTTATTTCATTCGTTATATTATTGTATTGTTTTTCTGTTTATATTTTGTTTTATTTTTTAATTAATCAACTTTTAACCGATATTTATACTGATTTCGAAATGAAATTCAGAATTCAGATTTTTAAAATTTTTTGTGTTATAATGTATTGCTCCATGGATTTTATATACATTAATTTATATTAATGAAAAAGAGTTTCAGTAGTTTTTTAACATATTTTTTAGAAATATTTCATCTTTGTAGCACGTGGCTTTTTAATGGTGCTTTTAAGAGGTCCACAAAGACAGGAAGATTACTGGAGCTGATATAAGTGGGATAAATAAACGGGCAATTTTCTATAAATTCTTCAAAATTGATAGAGTCTTAACGAATAAATAAGCGAAGGCTGCTTGTCGTTGCCGTAGTGTCTCTGTGGCTTGTTCTGCATAAATATTCATTCTTTATAATAAGGCTAAGCATAAGTATTCTAAATAATTTTCTACAGTATGCAAGATTTATAATTTCTGTAAAGATCTGACGAATTTACGGAATTAGAAAGAGATTTATCGATTAGAATCTTTTTAGAATCGTTGTATGTGTCGATATATCGATTTTGGTATTTTTATTAAATACTTTAGGCTGAAGGAAAGGCTTTCAACTGGTGCGTCAGAATTTCGCCTTGAACTGAATGTTCTGCATTTAGGATTCGATTCGCTATATCATATATGGACAAGAATTATCTTTCAAGTAATTCCACTTTCTGATAATCTTAATTATCAGCACTAATCAGCACTATTTACACAGTTACACAGTTGGCTGTTACTAAAAATAGGAATTTGCGCGCAGAATTCATTTGGTCATTTGGTGATAGCGTCAGCAGCACTCAGATTTTTCAGTGATAGGTTTATTTTCGTACAGAGCAGAATTCAGTCTCTTGCTTATCAACTGGATAAGCTGATGAGTCATTTCGGCTTTTCTGCGTTCAGTTTCAGGTTTTTTATGGCTTTTTAAATTTTAAAAATTTCCAAAGATAGATTTTCTATCGTTGATGAGAATATTTGCTAAACTAAATTAGTATCAATTCGTAAACAATGCCGAAGAGCGAATTAACCTGAAACTTCCAAAATTGCTTATTTTGGTTCTATTTTGGTCGCTGCAGTTTCTCTTTATTTACTTTCAGTAACAAATATATTGCGAGATTTAGTAGAAAATTACTGTGTGATTCAGCGATATGCGCCAAGTGAAAATGGAACCGTTCTTGGAGTTGCGGGTTGTACAAATAGCGGCAAAACGACTTTTGCCGAAACTTTAGTTGAAATGGTAATATTCCATAAACTTCTGCTTAATTGCATTTTTCGCTGTTCTATCGGTTAAATCGTGGTTTAAGAAGAATGTAAATTTTTTAGCTTTTCAGAGACATAGCTAATGATATAGAATCCTGGTAATGTACGTACAATAGTATGCAATTTTTATTATTGTTTTTCCTGCCTTCCAAAGAATTTGGATTTTGCAGTTAATCAATGATGGCAAGAAAGCAGTTAGAATAAGTCAAGATGCTTTCTTCAAACCTATGGACGAAGTAGAAAGATTGCTAGATGAAGAAGATTCTTCAATTTCGTATTATAATTACGATAGAAAAGAATCAGTAAACAATTTTCGCATTTGAACATTCAATTGATTTTATTGCATTGTTATCTTTTGACAGTTTTATGATGGAATTGTAGATAATCACGTCCAATCAACCAACCAACTTTCAAAAATTTCAGCTTGAGTCTGATGAAAAAAATGTTTGATTAGTATTTTATCCTTTTCTCCTGGATTTCTTAATCAGATACAATGATTTCCCGGAGCAATTCTGTAAGATAGAAGTTGATTAATCTTAATGTATTTTTTCCTAGGAAATTTTTCTCTTATCACTTTTTTTATGTACAATTAGAAGGAAAGAATTATCCCATTTTAAGTGGTATTATTTAATGATGGGCAAGGGCTTAGTGGATAGTAGTATAGATTATCGTGTTGAACGGCAAAAATCTGCCTCGATAGGAATAAGTTTATCTTTATAAAATCGATGATGCCATCAATACTGGTATCCAGGTAATCCCCTAATAAAATTTCTGACCATATATTCTGCAGAGCTAGTTCAGTCAAGAATAGTGAATACTACTGATTTACGTATAAGGTAAGGTGATTAGAAAATTATAAAGTATACACATATGTGATACATGATTGCCTTCATATAACTATTTTTTCCCAGTTCTATTAATCAATCTATTATTTCTCTTAATGACTGCGAATTAAAGTCCTAGTCTTTTTTTATTGCACTCACCATTTGTGATAAAGGTTCATCAGTTATTAGAATGAGACACTATGCCAGTCGCTTGGGAAGAGAGGTAGCGATCATTCTTCGACATCGCTCGAATTTTAGCTTTCTTTGTTATTTCAGGTGGATCAGCAAGGTCTTCTGGATCAAATACAAAAAATGCGTGCGGAAAATGATTATGTGATCGTTGAAGGTCATATGTTGTTAGAAATGAGTTCCATATATCAACTATTCTCCTTCATTTTTTTTACTACAGGAAGGTATGACATTTGCTTGAAATACCGAAGGAAACGCAACTATGGTTTCGATGATGAGCCCAGGTATTTTACTGTATTTTACTATATATTTTCTCCATATCTATATTTATCAGCAAAATCGGAATTTTCAAAAGAAACTTTCAAAATTATGATACTAGAAAATTTATTGCACCTAAGTTATTTCTATGAAGTTTCAAAAAAAATGAATCTTAATTTTAATTATTATGATATTTAGATATTTCGATCAAGTAGTTTGGCCTTCATATCGTCGACATTTGTTTAATGCGTTAGCTTTGGCTCGTGATTGCATTATGCATATTCGTTTCATCGATAGTACTCTGTTTGATTTTTCCAATCGAAGTACCATTAAAGAGGTATTTTTTAATTTTTTTTGAGTAAACGACTAACAGAATGAATCTTTCATTAATAAGTTAAAATCCAAATCTTCTCCACAAAATTTTTTTCATTTTAAATCAAATATAAATTAAAAATATGTGTTTTCAAGCCATTCTACTTTTTTTACAGATTTACTCAGATTTTTTTACAGATTCTATTTACCACTTCTATCAATTTATTAAGTATTCAAAAAACAATTATTGATATAAATTTGGCCTTGAAATTCGTCAGTGCACCATCAAATGGAGGCATTTCGATTTTTATCGGTTAGTATTTATTTTTTATTAACTATAATTGTCATTTCGGTGGCACATAAAATATTTTATTGGTATATTTAAGGTTATTTAGCGAATTTTTAGTTTTAAGGTACGACAAGAAATACTTTTAACGGAAAAAATGTTGTGCGGCTTGAGTACGAGGCATATGATGAGATGTCTTATAAAGAATTACATAGACTATGTGGAAATGCCCGGTTAAAATTTCCTAGTGTGGATCGGCTAGCAATTATTCATCGAATTGGGTATCGATAACTATTTATATTCATCTATAGGTTTTTTCTTGCCTAAAATAATAGTTCTTTATTTCATTTATAGTTCAGCTTTGAACATTATTTTCATTTATTTAAATTTTTCACCGAATTTTTCATTGTCTAAACGAATATGTTGAAAGTTTTTATTATTTATTATTTTTATTATTCAGTGGAGAATTTATACTCCATTTTAGTGAAGTTCCTGTCGGAGAAATATCTGTTGTTATTGCTGCGAGTGCACCTCACAGACACGATGCAGTTGGAGCTACCAAATTCGCTACTGACGAATTTAAATTGACTGTTCCTATATGGAAAAAAGTAGGATTTTTTTTGCCATTCTAACCCAATGTTTTAATAATTTATCTCGCTGAAAAGGAAATTTCGCTTTAATCATCCTCAGTGTGCTGCCACATTTTTGATTGTTTTTAAGTTTATCATGGATTTCGAAAACATTGAAGTTACGTTGAAAACGTTGATCTGCTGACAGTTACGATAAATTGCAATAAAAGATTAAGCGTGATAGATGATCATGTATTAAAAGTTTCAAATCAACACAAATATTTGTTTCCAAATATCATGTTTTTTATACTTAATAGTTTGATGGCACGTGTAGTGCTTATAGGGATATCCTTTATGTGTGTTGCGGATAATGCGAGCGAAACTTTGAGTATATAAATGTTTGAAAACAAATGCGCAATTTATTTGTCCATGTCGATTTGTACTAATAAATGAGGAATTTTTTATCAGTATGATAAGAAATAATTGGCCTTAGGATAAAAAGAAACAATTTTTTTATTCTAAAAAGAACACAACGAAAAGGATTAACAGATCATGATTTTTACAGGAACTATACGACGATGGCAGTTGTTCATGGAAAGAAAATTGTGAAAAAGAAAGAACAGCTGTTTAATATCATTTAAAAAACTCTATTATGACCAAAAAATCGAAATTTTGGCACGATGAATTTCATATAAATTTATAGTAAAATATAGGTTTTCTTGTATTTGAGGCTTAATAAATCACATTCATATGGACATATGAGCTTGAAATATTGGTGGCAGTATCTTCAATGAATGGATTATGCTTTCAGCATAAAAAGTGAAAATATTAAGCACATTTGCTGTAATCATCTATAAGATTGTTAAGTTGACGATGTTTTGCCAAAAAATTAAGAATTATTGGGATGTTGCGTCGAACATCATAAAATTTGGCACCAGTGATTACTGCGTACTAAAAGAAAAAATGATTATAATAGCATCGAATAAAATGTAAATTTATTAACTTCTTACGTAATCTTATTTATTTCTTAAAAAAAGATACCTCGCCTCCTACTGTTTTTAGTTGGCAGAGTTGTGGACTCTTGGAAGTCGCTGTGGATAATACTGATGTTGAAATCCCAATTAAATATTGCACTCCGGCCCGTTCACAAACAACAGGACCACCTGAGTCACCCTTAAACAAAATTGCTTATTTTCTTTGAATTTTCGATTCACAGATTTAGCCAGTTTTGAGAGGACTAGTGAAAGAAATTGAGGAAAGTTTTACTAATAGTAATGCTTGGTGGTGAGTAATCACCATTTCTGATTAGGCTTCTTTCACTGGCGATTACTAGAAATTTCACCATTGAGTCACTTAGAGAATGAAGTACAGATAGGTCCCGAACACCGCTCTTATTGGTTATGGCGATAAAATAGATTGCTAATGCATTAAGCGAAAATGGGAATATCATTGGGCATAATAAGGCATATTAGTGTTATTAGTGTATTTTATTATAATAGATTTCTTAAATTTTAAAATATTGATGAAAAATATTTATTATGTTCTCGCCTGGCAAATTTTTCTTCTGTCGTCGAGGCTAGCGATAAGTATTGGCGATTTAGTTTTCAAATGGACTCGCATACTTCGCAAGCGATAATCAATCCGTAATTGCTCTATAATATCGCAGCAATCGTAATTCGGATATCTTTTTAACGCCATTAATTAAATGAAAGATTTCGTAGAACGAGAAAATTTCAACGAAGAACCCATAATTTGCATTGGGAAATATGGAAAAAAATTTACAAACTATATAAATTTGAAATATTTTCCAAAAAAATTTATCAATGAGATCGACCTATCGAAGCAATAAAATCAGCGCATTCGAACAACTCACTCTCACTTCTCCCGTATCCATACATTGTACATTTCGAAAACTCGACATCATGATCGGTCCAACGGGAACGGAATGAATTTCCAAGAGGCAACCTTATTATTCCAAAACGCTCGTCTACATTTGGCTCTCGGGCATCGCAAACGTTGATTGGCTTGCTGAGCAATAAAAGAGCGATATCGTCTCCCAGCTCAAATTTTTCTCAAATTTCTTCAAAGTTTTTCACAGTTTTATCAGTTATAATAAATTCTGATAAGTGATGGGATACGATAATGGGATAATTAATGGCAGATAGCACATTAATTCAGTTGAAAATCGTCATCCATATAAGCTCAGCAATTTTTTGATTGATCGTAGTTCCACGCTTTAAATAAATTAATTCATCAAAAAATACGGCTAAAATTTCATTTCTCTGCCTAAAATAAAGTGTCACTAAAATCGCAATTAAATGAAAAATCCTGAAAAACCCCATCTAAATTTTAATTCGCAATAATTATCAAATTTAACAAAAAGCAGTTTAAGAATTTACTCGTTGCTTATATATATGAAATTTTTTAACTGTGCGAAACAAAATCAGTTTCCTGCGATTCAAGAAATTCACCATAAGAATTGATCTAAAAAATTTTTTTATTACAAAATATCTTGATAAGTACACGATCCGCAGTTCGAATCGACTCATTCCACGAGCAGAAACCTGTCGTTAAAAAAGCCAAGTCTTGATGAGTACTCATCCATCTACATTTCTCAAACAGTTTCTTTTGACAAAATTATTACGTTTTAACGAGCCCAAATAGAAATACTTGGCTATTCATAAATAATTTCGTTTTATATAAAAATTTTAACTACTTTAAAATTTTGTGCTTAATTTCCGCGTAAAAAAAAAAAAAAAGCGGACCCTTGCTTGCCTTCTATGCAATGTCCAGCAGTGATAACAACTTGTCGAGAAATAAGAGATCCCGTACAATATTCGTTGTGAAGTCGATAGCCATAGCCATGCGAATGTCTGCTTCTCCTAGCTAAATTTTAAAAAGCATGTAAATATTTATTAAATTCACATCTAAATCTATTTAAAAATCTAAAATTTTTTAGCAAATAAATTCCCTAATAGACAAAGCAGCTTTTAACTAATTAAATAATTGGCTCTGATCAAATTTGCCTCAAAAAGACTGCAAATAAGTTAGGGGACTTATTGTTGACATACATGGCGTGAGAAAAATTCAACATAAAAAACAGGTGAGAGGATAATAGAGCAAGTTGCAGTCACCGTGGATTCCATTCCTTCTTAGCAGAAATAAGTCTCAAATTGAAATGTGAACAATGCGCACCATGCGGAACATACGGACCATAAGGGCCCATCTCCATTTCTCCACTCACGGGTTCAATCTTTATTGCAGAATGGTTAACAGAATCACAAATAGCGATTGTTGCTTGAAGAAATGTAATGCGCTAATAGATTTCTTTCACATAGCATTTATTTGAAAATCTTATAAAATGAAAATCTTATAAAATGTGAAATCACTCACAGACGTGAATTAATACCGTCGATGGAGATGAGGATCGTTCGGTTAAATTTCCATTGGTTATCGAAGCAACAATCGTCAAATAAGCGAATAAAAAGTTAATCATAAACAGTAAGTTGGCCATTCCATACAACTTTATTTATATTTCTTTAAGAAGATAAATGATAAGAAGTGATAAAAAGAAGATAAATGATAACAACTGAACTGATAATAAGATCAAAAGTTTAATGAATAAATTAAAATGAAAGGGCGAACATATTATAAATAAAGCAAATGAATTCAAATTCAAAAATTTAAATCCAAGCTGGTTGATTTACTTTTAGATTTTATAAAGTTTGCTTAGATCTGCATTTACACAAGGCTTTTATGCGTAGTAGAAAATTACGCACAAAATAAAACTGCTTATTTCTTCTGGAAGCAATATAATAGCCTATGGATCAAGAGGATTGGAACCTTTGGATTTATAGTGAAATGAACATTCAACTAGAGAGGACCGAAGACCCACAGGCAATAATATGAGTGACATTTATAGGATATATTAAATGGACAAATCTTGAACAAATTATTCTAGCCTTAAGGGGCAAAAAAGTCGAAAAGTATAACAGTTTTGCAAAAATTTGTCTGAAAAAAAACGGCAAATATCTACTTAAAGAAGATACGTTAATGGTTTTAATATTTTATAAGCAAATCTGACAAAATTTGACAACTGCAAAATGATAATAGGCGAAAATTTTTGTTAATTATATGGCTTTTAGAAGGAAATGATTTAGAAAAAGTGCATGCAACGATAAATACAATATCTTTAGGAGCGCTCGAAGAGAATAAACTGAGCAGTCTACGGGGTAATTATTTTCGCTCGTTGAACCTGAAATCTTTAAGAGTATTAGAAAGAAAAAATGGAACATCTGTAGAAATTTTGGACACGGTGGACAAAAAAATAGAATCATTAAGAATTAGAATCTCTTTTATAAAGTGCATTGCCAATGTTGACGCTTATTTCTGAAAGCCTTCTGCCAATGAGACACGAAACGAGTTAAGTCACCGAGTGTTTGACGTCAGATGATTTTTTCGCTACTATTCAGAGACAAAAGATAATAAAGCTGTGATGAAAAATTTCGTACAATAAGAGAATAAGATCAACAGAATGGTTCGATAAGGATGAATCAAAACAAAACCTGAGAAAACCAACGAGATTATGGCCGCTGTTTGTAGTTTGCAACAGCTTTATTAAAACTTCTCCTAAAACTTCGTGAAATGACTACAACAAACTAGCAATTGTCCATCGGAGACTGTAAGCACAACCCTGATCAACAGGAAAAGTTCCATCTAGTATGGCAATGCTAGACCGCGAGAATATACTTAAAATTCTCCAGCGGAGTATCGAAATCACCTCACAGTATTTGCCAATAGACCTTCGCTGATTCCCCTTACCTTCTCAAGATAAATACTTAAAAAAGATATTCCTTCGAAATGAGGAGGACCTTGAAGATTTTTCAGCATTTTGATTTCGATTTTCTTGTATGGCCTAAATATATTGTTGTTGGCAACAGTGCTTTGTGAAGAATAATAAAAATGGTAA